GCATTATGTCTATCTACGGCTCTACAGTCCTTTGTTGGACCTTGGCCACCTTTTCACTTTCTTGATTTTCTACACAGTCGGTAGACTCCTTGCATGGGGGATCAGCCCGCCGCAAGGACGCTACCTACACACAGAACAAACACACACACACATTGATGCCTCGAGATGGATTCGAACCCACGATCCCACTGTCTGAGGGGGCCAAGACAGTTCTTCTTACTTTAGACCGCGCGGCCGCTGTGATCGGCGTTTGAATTATACAGAGTGGAAATTGCTTTTCAGAAGTGGGTAGACGTTGCAGACCAGTAGAGTGATAGAACGTCATTTAAACGGAATCATTACAGAGCAGATTCCCAGGTCCGACATGTGCTGGTATAGGGAACGCTTGTTTCACGTTTCAAGGCATTGCTTTCAAAGAGCCCCTCGGTTAGGGGTGGGGGATGTCCTGAGGGGAAGTAGTAATATAGTAAAACTGGATTATAATCCTTGTAATATCATAACATTTGTTAACACCTTGATAAATATTTATAAAAAGTCTTAAACCATATTTATTTTAAACACGAAAAAGGCTGTTTTTTGCACGCACGCACACATTAAGGCAGGAAGGCGCGATTGAAATCTTTGCTAACTTGACGGGGCTCCATTAGGTATAGTTCGGAAACAACCGTCCTAAGGCACTGTAAGGCCAAGGGCACACCCTGAATTTATTAAACCATATTTTTTTATTGCTAGTCGGGTGGGACTAAGTCCCTTGTACTGCGGCCACTTCTGGCCTATTGTACCAGCCCCAGGTGATAGGTGAGGGTGATTGTGGAGTAACTGGTGGAATGAAGATTGGCAGGGGAAACCGAAGTACTCGGAGAAAACCTGCCCCAGAGCCACTTTGGCCACCACAAATCCCACTTGACCAGACCCCGGGCCACCGAGGTGGGAAGCCAACGACTAACCGCTTGAGCTATGTATGGCGCGGCCTATTAAACCATAACTGTTATACGCAGCTACGCGAGGTTAGATACAACAATCACTGAAAGAATAACACAAAAGGTTCTCCTTCAGATGCATTATTTAAATCATTACTGATATTTACCTTAGTTTTCAAGACTTGTTCATATCAACTTCAATGTCACAGGATTCAGGTTAACATCACATCGTGTAACACAGTCGCTGCAGAGGTTTTTCAATTCCTAGGTTAGGGACATCCAAAACAAAACACAATCTACTTCACAAACAGCAAATCCACTACACGAAATACGAGAGTTTTAAAGTGGATTGTTTATCCAGTTATAAAAGACCGTTCGACCGTAAAATGTATTCCACGAACACTTCTTCGGTAAAAAAGAATTCAATATTGACATCAATGCTGTAACACGATTCACGCGCTTCCACACCAGTATGCCTACACAAAACCGAACACACCCAATCACTGTAAATAATGTGAAACAACAGAACAGCATGAATCTACTGCCAATATCAGCGTGATTATTCCGTGAAAATGGACTTAAAAAAATTTCCCTCGCGATAACCAACATGTTTACAAATAACAATGGATGACATATTATGAATGAATTTATACTAATAGTTGGTTTACCTGATGTTTGACAGCTGATGGGGGGGGAGGTGCATCAAACTTTCACATTAAAATTTAATAAACATGTCACGTTTTGCCGCAATATGCTATAATGGAGAAAATGTTGGCAGTGTTTTTTTCTGCTTTAAGAGGGGGTAATGATACCGAATAGTATTGCTACATTTTTTTTTTTTGCAAAATAAACTAAACCGTTATATAAAAGAACCCAAGCCCCCACAAATAGAAAATTCATTGAAAGTGTCATTCTCACACAATACTCAGCATTTCACATTCTAAATGGTATATAGGAGACGCATAACCTAGGGCTAAATGTTTACTTTCACTACTGTGTTGCAATAAACAATTTTTCAGTACTCTCAACAGGTATTCAAGAACATGTTACAGAAAATACTATCTTCTACATGCTGGAAAAAGAAAAGTGGAAGGGGCAACTACTTAAAAATATTTCTTTTTTCCGTAAACACTATTAGCTATGAATACATAAAAATTATGCTCACAGGAAATATATCTACCATGAGTAACAAAAATGTTACCTTACGCTTCCACAAATAAGAACCAAATCACTGATTTGTAAAAACCACATGCACCTCAAAAAGTTGTTCTCAGGAAATCATCTATGCTGCAGAAAACAAAGTTACAACTGTTAATCTTTGTCTTCCAAACAAAGGTGTTAATTACAAAAAATTGTAACACTGAGCTCTTCTTGAGAAGCTGCCAATTGTGCAGCTACTTAAGAGCTACCAAGAATTTTATGGAACCCGAAGGTTCATTACCGCGTTTACAAGAGCCCTCCACTGGTCCCTATTCTGAGCCAGATCAATCCAATCCACATCATCCCATCTCTTTAAAATCCATTTTATGTCATCCACCCACCTACACCTTGGTCTTCCAGGTGGTCTCTTTCCATTTGGCTTTCTGACCAGTATCCTATATGCATTACTCTTCTCCCCATTCATGCTACATGCCTTTTCCATCTCATCTTCGTTGAACAAAAAATGTTAATAGCCACACATAACCCCCCAAAATGTGCAATATGTTGTAAACTGTAAGTAGAAATCAAAATTACTGCCTCTTAACTGAAAATCACAGAAAAACAGGGGAAACTGTTCAATTATTTCTATCTGCATTTCAATAAAAGATGACCACTTCACTTGCAGCAATATGAATACTGCCTTCTTCTCAAAACTTTGGAGAACAGAATCACATCAAAGATAAATATAAATGCATTCTTAACTTGCTTTCAAATTGTGGTCTCTTGGGGTTATGATGTAAACTTTCACCCTGAAGATGAAGGCAGTAGGTTTAGCATCCACCCAAGAGAGTACAAGACTTCATAATTCAGAAGACCACAACATTAACCTCTACTATTTCTGAAAACCTCAAATCTTTTACCTATTAATTATGGTGGGAAAGTACTGACTTTGTAACAGCCAAACACAAAACACAATTATAAGGAAACAAAAGTGCATATTTATAGCCCTCTGTTACAGCAACAACACAAAATAAAGTTGTTGAAACAACAACACACCAACAAACTAACTTTGGCGAAGGAAGAAAACTGAAAATGAGAATGTTTATTCTTATCGGACGGTGTCACTAAAAATATGTGATTTTAGTAAATATATTTTCTAACACTTTCTAAAAAACTAGAAATACAGAAAAACATATTTATAATAGTGAGCAAATTTTATGAAATAAGCTGGGTTTCAAAATGTAACAAAAGGTGATTAAAAGTGTGTTATCATTATGATTTATTTACCACACTGTATTGCTGTACCATATCACAAAATGTGTAATCCCACTGATAAAAATCTTTATTTCTCAAATAGGTTTATCTTCTTTACACTGGTCCTATGTCCTTTTTTGTTACTGTATCCCACTTCCATTCTGGAACTTAATATTCAGATCATGAATTCCTTTATACTAGCACCAACAAATGAATCACTAGATCTCGGCATGTGAAATTTGCTGTGGAGATAGATCACAAACGCACCTACAAATTATGTTCAAAATACTGTCTGTATGTAAACAATTAGCAGTGCAGGAATTTGACGTTACATCTGACAACTACAACACAAATATGATGTGTACTGGAGTTCTTGACATAAATAAAATACGATTAAAATTACAACCAAAATAATATATCTGTGAGACTAGAAATCTGTATAACAAAAAAGAAGGCTTTCTGAGTTCTTCTCTCAAATCCTTGTCTTGCTTATGTCCAAATATTCTTTTCAACACCTTAATCTGAAACACCCTCAAACTCTTTCACAGATAAACATGTCAAAATTACATTACACATAAACTGTACATATATAAGAGATGGATGCCAATGTTATTATGAGGACACAATGGACATCTTTTCAGAGCCTTAGGTCCACTACTAACTAGATGAGGGGTGTAAGCTGAAATAGAAGAAGGGTTCCAAAATTCATCATAAAATAAGAAGTGACTGCAGCAAAAATTGCAGATTATTTTATTTTTATGCATACAAACAATTCAATACAATTCAGATTGTAGGTAGCTCAGGTGTAGGGTAGGATGACTGGAGAATCAGGTATGATTCCTGGCAGAAGTGTAGCTTTTTTTCTTTTCACTGTACTTCAGGCTGACTCTGGGGCCCACACAGTCTCCTGCCCATTTAATACTGGTAGCTCTTTCCCTGGAGGACAAAGCAGCTAGGGCGTGAAGCTCACTTCTCACCTCCAGCTAGTGCTGATGGTTAACAAACACTGGAGCTACACCTCCACAAGAAGGCCAAGATTCATAAACAAACATGGTGCCAGTCCAACTTTACTTGGAGTGAATCTCTTCAAATGTACAAAGTAAACTGAAACTTTAATCACATATAACATATATTTCACTAACAAACAGCACATTCACATTAACCTTCATCACCAGGGAATAAGGTGATGCTGGCGGTTGGACTTTTAACTAATTGAGTAACGGTACTTATATTGTAAACAGTGTGATGCACTGATGATAAAGGTTACTACAATATTCATTTACCTCCTTATCTCTCTCATAAATCAAGGAAGGTATATATCGCAAGTCTTTACACATGTGTTGATTTTAATAGTACCTTAAAATATACCTATAACTCGACAAATTTCTACATATGGTGGACGGTATGAGATCATAACACCAAGGCAATATATATCTACAGAATGTGAAAGTCATGTAAAAGATAAAGTTATCCCTGTAACAGGTCATGAATGCCCATAGGGTTGTGAGAGGTGGAGGGGCCCACATCTTCTAGACAATAGGCTCACAGATGGCGGTGAGGTTGTCAGCCTTACCTGCCGGCCAACCTTTATCCCCAGGAAGATTTATGGTACTTATTCCTGTTAGAGGCTGAGTCGACCCCAGGGCCATAGTGCAGCTGGAAGGATTAGGTCAATTGAAAAAATCCAATGACCTCATTGGGACTTGACCCTGTGACCTTCCAGCTTGTCGCATAGTGCCTCAACCAACTACACTACCGCATATCCCATGATAGTCATGTGCAAACAATAAATCAGTATGTACAAATAAACACTAGTAAAAATAAATAGTAAACAAAATATTGCATTGGTAGATTTAAAGACTCACATAATAGAGTAAGGATTTGCAGAATGTATGCCATATGACGCACAGCATATTGAGTGCTACTTATCTAGATATTTATGCGGTTGTCCTTGGCCCAACGTTTCATGACTCGGATTATCTGTTCGACCTGTGAGTTGGCTGTGTTCCTCAGCAGTTGTATTGCTTCTGTTAGCAGCTCCCTGCAGAAACAGTGGAAACAGAGATTTGAGAATACTTGCTTTCGATACAAAAGAGCTGAGTTTCTATCAGCAGCTGGTTTAAAAACTATAGTCTTTCGGATCTTGACACATCCCATCTTAACTCTGATTGCCTTCAAAATAACATTTCTTTAAAATGGAAGTTTTCATGGGGCATGAATACATGGAGATAAGAGGTGTGCTATACTCACTTGTTTTGCTGACCTGCAACAATTCGCTGGAACACCCCAACGCATGCTCCCCGCTTCCCTTCCCAGTGCTCAGGGCTGGGATCCAACCTCTCTAGCATGTCAAATGCCTTTGCAGCATGCCAGAATTGGCCCATCTTGTAACTGTCGTTAGCAATGAGCTGTAAGAGACTGAACGATTCGGCTGATGTCTCCATCTTGAGGTACAGTTCCCACGCGTGCTGAGGTTTCTTGTTCATTATGTCTGTTTCCACATAAACACACAGGCTGCAAATTAACTGTCTGAAGCCTAAGTTTGTGGCTGACTGCCTTACTGATTAAGCAACTAACTCTATGGAGTTTTTTTTTGAAAGGCTATCAATTGCTCAGCTAGACAAGAAATTCCCAGCATTTTATGGCAACCTGAAAGTTCAATACAAAGTTTGCAAGAGCCTGTCATACTGGATCTTGCCCAGAACTAGATGTGTCCAATTCACACTTCCCCATATTATTTCTTTAAGATCCAGTTTAATATTATCATTCCAGCTACAATGTTTTCCTACTGATTCTTTCCTATGAAAATGTTGTATTGACGTGTCTTCTCTCCCATGCATGCTACATGTCCTGCTCATCTTATCATCCTTGTCTTGATGATTCAAATAATATCTGGCAAGAACTAAAAATTATGAAGCTCCTTATTATACTTTGTCGCTTCAAGGTCAATATATTCTCAACACCCTCAGTCTACATTCTTCCCTTAATGTGAGAATGAAGTTTCACACCCAGATGTTCAGGTAACTATTTACAAGTCGTTGGAAAACCCACTGCCGTTTTACCAATATGTGAATAAGAGGAGGCCCCCATTCGAGGTTTCTGTGACAAGCTGTGGATCTAAACACTGAACATAAATGTAGGAAACTTAATATTGACACTACTGACTTGGGATCATTGTAACTGGATAACCATCAACTGAAGAAGGGTGAATGGGGGTTACACTGCAGACAGTACACACTTAAGACTGAAAATCAGGTTCTGCAAAATTACAATACCAAGAAAATATCTTACAGCATCGAGCCAAATGGCTGATGTACACATAGTCATTCTTCAGCCTGTCATTCTGAATCATTAGGAAAGTTTCCTCGGCCTCCTTGTAGTTTCCCTTGGCTGCCTGGGCCTGAAAATGCAGGAATATGATTGTTAGCCTACTGCAGAGGGAAAAAGTGGGCTTATGAGATCACCCCTCTGTCCATGTGTATCTATGTCTGTGTGCTCACTACTTCAACTTTAGAACCAGTCGAGTGATTTTCACATTATGCCATCTGAGGTCACACAAATGATATAAATCCTAATTTCCTACAATTAGTTATAACAAAATGTGCAATTTCTGAGGCGGGAGTGTCAGTTGCCTTAATTACTTTATGGTTCCCAAATGAGGTATGGTTACAGATCTTTAAAAAATATAGAACTGTTAAGGTATTTTCTTTTGAGGATGTAAAATAACAACATGGAAGCTACGTATATGGAAAAAAAAAAAATTTTTAAATTAAAATTTGGTTAGAATGTGGGAACAAATGAACCATTTGAACCAGGTACAGGAAAGATGTATTATACAGAAACCTACACATTTTGTATAAAATACTGTTCATAAGTCAACAGTCAGAAACTTGTGAAAGTGTGGACTTTTTAAGTTATTATATCAGACAAATTAAACAGCTACATAATTTAGACTTAGCTGTTTGAATGCCACGAGCCAATTAGACCAGTTTGGGGTACTCACATTAAAATTGTCAAAGCCAAAGGGACTGACACATTGTTGGTCATTTATTACAGCTTTTCTGGCAATTTCTGGCATCAAGAGTGACATATTGCTGTTTAGGGGATGCGGCAGTCTTTCATATGACCCGCATCTGTCACAGCTCGAAAGTCATTTGAGAAAGCACTGGGGGGTTGGTCTGTATTATTTTTATTTTTTGGATAAAAGGACCAGAACTGTGTACATTACATGCTGTGGATGGAAGGGGGAAGCAACAAAGATAAAGAGTAGCACTGGAAGTCACCTGCATGCCACGAAAGTGAACAAGGGGAGAGGTGGAAGGATTCGATGCATTCTTAACTTCAACTCTAGAACGCTGGAAAATAATCTGCCACCAAATGCTGAAGTTTCTATTCTGGTTATTTATGTAACAGACAAACCTGAGCAAAGTTGAAGTTGAAACTATCATCATTGAAGAAATAGCTCTTAATTGAACTCAGATATAAGAGAACATCTTCAAACTGACGCAGCAAAAAGAAGCATGAAGCCATGCACTGACGACCGGGAATGGTGTCACACTCGCTGGCACTGCTGCCAACCAACTGGAAGTACTGTTGGGCTATTTTCACGTGTTCTCTCTGTAATCAAGATCAACAGTAGCATCGCTAGTATATGAAGACTTTCTTTCTTTAAATTGCAACTGTCAAGGGGTATGTTATGAAATGCAGTGATATAAGGCAAAAGTGGATATCTACTTTCCTTACGTAAAAAATCTTTCTCAAAAACGTCAGGCTCTTTCTAAACCACATGTCATTACAACACAGACAATTTTACTTTTCAGGGTCACTGCCATAGGACCTCAAATCCATCCAACTAACCACCGACTTTCATGGAGTAATGTCATTCTTGAGAAACTAGTGGTCATTCAGTTAAACGTGGGAGCCAAAGATTCATTACAATGTTCACGAGAGTCAGTGATATTATACTGTGTAAAAGAATTCAATTTCACAGTTGTGAAAAAAAGACATTGGAGAAAAACAAGACAACTATAATCTGAGGCAGGGTACATACTGAACCATTCTCCTGGCCCATGGCAGCATTGACAACGCCTTTCAGAATATATTCCTGTGGTACAGCTGGTTCCAGGTCCTTGATCAACTGGTATGCCTCCCGCACATCTTCCTACAAAAGAAAGCAACTATACCAGAAAAGACATATAATAACATAAAGGTAAATTTGTCCCTGTGCTTAACTAATTAAGCACTATGCCATGAAGGCGTATGGGGGAGTGGATGTATAAATCCACATTTTCTTGACCTCAGCACTAGTTGGGGATGAGTGATCAGCTTCATGCCCCTAGTCCTTTAGCCCCCGGGGAAAGAGCCCCTGGTACCCATTCAACACGAGGCTGGGTGAGCCCCAGAGCTGATCTAGATAGATGGAGAATAGAAATTCTTGACCCTACCAGGACTTGAACTCTGACCCCTTGGTCATCCAGTTGCTATGCTGACTGTGCTATCCCAGCTCTTATACATAAAATAACATAAGAAGATGGATTATATATATATAAAATGCTTAGGTATGTTTCTACTCCTTGTCCAATGGAACTAGTTCACGAGAATGCCGATGGAGGCGACACTTGAAGCCTCTACTATGAGACTTACTTAACATGATAACATGAAGCAAATAACTATGGAGAACACAGACAAGAACGTGGCTTGGCAATGGCGTTCACTTCAGTGGGTATAGATATTAAATAGCCATCTGCATATGGTCCATACAAGTAAACAAACCTCACCTGTTTGAGGTAGTAGATGACAAGATTGAGTCGAGCTTCAGGAATAACATCCACTAAGGAAGGGAGCACTTGAAGAGCACCTTCTCCCCCCCGAAACACCACTAGGTTGTGACGAATCAGGTCATGTCCAAAACTAAATGACGATGAGCTCTGATCCTATAACATAATTTGTTAGAAGGTTGCAACCATCTTGTTATACTGCAACACTGAACTCAAACTATAGGGAAACATCTCATGTCCTCTTGTAAGGGTTGGGACTGAGATACAAGTTGTCATCTTGTCTATCTGTCCATTTTCTTACACATGTCCTCTGCTTCTATCCTTGTGCTACCAGTATCAGGATCATAAGAATGTTTTGTAAGCACATACTGTATCATTTCAGGTTACTATAGCAACGAAATGTCGAGTGTTAACATGTTGCATGAATGTAAGTAACCCCTGTAGTAGCCACTCATTTGTTGCAGTGTTGCGTGCATTCTGAGCACTGAGATGTGTTGATGTGGACGTGTCAAGTGCAGTATACTACATGATTCACTATTTGTGTGTATTACTTGTAGGAGGCGGGCATTAAACATCAGTTTTGATGTATCATTTAGTAACGAGAATACAAGAGACAGCACAACTTAAAAGTATGAGAGATTATATAACAAGTGTGTGACTTTGCCGTGAATTCTCAATGGATGTTACATTAGTATTTATTTATTTATTAATGTGTTTTTAACAAAGATCTCAATATGTTACATTATAAAATACCATTAGGTAGGATGAAGGAAATTTCTGAAAGCCAGAAGAAGAAAGTCAGAGTGCCCACTCTGAGATGGATGGAAGATATACAGAATGATTTATGAGAGATTGACGTGAAAAGACAGAGGCAATTAAAGGTAAAGCTATGCCTGTAACATGCTGTGAAAGCCCATAGGGTCGCAAGACGTTGAGGCTCCCACATTTTCTCGAGACAATTGGCTCACAGATGGTGGTAAGGTTGTCAGCATTATGCGGTGGATGCCCTTTACTGCCCAGGAAGATTACCAGTACTCATTTCTGTTAGAGGCTGAGTCAACCCCAGGGCCCCAGTGCGGCTGGAAGGATTAGGTAAATTGAGAAAATCTACCTCACTGGGACTCGAACCCGTGACCATCCAGCTTGTAGCATAGTGCGTCAACCATGCTACCGTGTGCCCCCAGCAAGAGGCAATTAACACAGAAAAATGGCATGCATTGTAAAGGAGCCCATGTTCTTAGAGGACTGTACAGCAAATGAAGTAAATATTGTGATAAGTACTCATGAATGTGGTAGGAAGTGGTTGGGGCATAATTTGAGGTACTATCCTGTCACTTGCCTGAAGGACTGAGGAAAACCACGAACATTAAATCAGGATATGTTGTCTCTGAACTTAGATATGATGCGAGAACCTCATGACTACAAAGCCAGAATGTTATCACTTAATCATAATTTTTGGATATCAATCTTAAATTTCATAAAACTGTGTTCTGCCAGGGCAGAGGTTTTTGAAATTTACAGACAGACAATATCAGCTGTTACATTCTGTGAAAGTTAAACTCAAACAAACTGAACAATCCCTATCACAGAACAGCAGTACAATACGAGATTTACCATAAGGGATTTCATCTCAGTTTCAGCAGCCTTGCCGTTGTACAGACGGAAGTGGTTACAAGCCTTCAGGTTGATGGCAATCGCCGAGTCTGGGAACTGCTGCAGGTACACAGCAAGCACTTCCTGTGATACGTCATAGTAGTCCAACTTGTAGTAACACAGAGCGACATACACGTTCAGTGCCAAGTATTCCCTGCATTATAGACAGAAACTGACTTTATTCATGTTTTTATTTTGCCAGACTGTCTTCCTGTTGTATGTTACTGGATCCTGTTTTGTTCCTGAGAAAAAAATAACTTTTTTTTTCAAGTGATAAAACTTAAATAGTCACACTGGACGGCGTTGTTTTTGTCCTTGTAAACATTCAATAATTATGTTCCTATAAATTATGTCTCATTACAAAAACCATTCAGCTAATGCTGTTTAGGAAAACAATCACTTCTTATTGCCAGAATCATATGGAACACGTAAATATATTCTATGAATAAAGTGCAGAGTTGCTGAATGGTAAAGTAGGTGGTACATATAGTGACCAGTGCGCTTTCAAGGGTTAAATATCAAGGAGTTTGTGTGAAGGAACTTTACTCCCTCATGGCATCAAACAGATCAATGAAGTGTGTACTTCTCCTCTGCCTGTATAAGCACTAAGTAGATGCAGATACGGTACATTATGCAGAAACACGACAACCGTAAAAAAATTACCAATTTCTGGGAAGCGGACTTACGAGAAACACTTCACTGTTCTTCTCTTTCTCATCCTGGTAATTGGGAAGAAGGGAAGTGCACTGAGGACAAGAGGCTAAAACTAATAAAAAGGAAGGGAAATGTTAAATAATAGAAACATAATACATAACATGAACTGAGACAGGCAGACATGTGCACTCACACACATGCGCACGCATGCACACACACAGATATACATCAGGCAGAGTAAAAAACGTAGAAATGGTACAGGGGCACAGTGCAATAAGATGGCCTGTACCTGTTATCCAGCAAGATGCGTTTATAGATGTCAATGGCCTCTTGATAGTGAGATCGTAGATAATGTATTGATGCCAGAGACAGCTGATCCTCTATCACATCTTCAAGTTCCTGATGATATTCCATCAGCTTCTTCTCGTCCCCCAGCTTGTGCGCAAGGTGAAACTGTAGTCGAGTCTTCAGACGGGACTTCACTGCCTTCTGCAGTGTCTGAAGTGGTACAATCATCCCAAGCATTAATCTGCTCTGAATAATTATGGCAAGTAACCTAACTGTGTAGTACAGTAGAGCTATCTTCCTGTTGCAGGTTTCCTGCAAGCAGTCCATATTTACTAGGCATTCTTTCAAAGCAAAATGAAATGTCTTGTGTGGAGGTCATGTCTGTCTGTGACCTAATATTGATGCCTAAACTACTGGACAGATTTATTTGATATGGGAGATTTTCAGCAGAAGTTATTAAGAAACTGGTTTGGCTAGGATATGATTCAGGCATTAGTGATGTTTCTTACAGCAGAATAAACACATGATTCAGGCTAATACTCACCCTATCAGCTTCAGGATACATGCCCAAATAAAAATAACAGCAAGCAAGATTCACTGGGACACCTTCTGGAGGATTCTTGTTATGGCTGAGCGCCTCATACACCGACATGGCCTTCTTGTAATCCCCAAGATGGAATGCACAGTAACCGATCCACATTTCCGTTTCCGCATTTCCTTTACCAGCTCCAAACTAAAAAGCAAAATGGGGTAAAGCAGCCAGGGCATGAAGCTGGCCACTTGTCTCAAACTATTGCGGAGGTCAAGAATACATGGATCTATACATCCGCTCAACCAATACTTCTTCTTGGCATAGTGCCTAATTAATTAAGTACAGCGCCAACTTTACTCTGCCTTAGTGTCAGGCACTAACTAGTCCATGTGGTCCACTGTAGTTTCATGCTAACTTCCAGTGGTCTTCCTTAAACTTATACACCAATTTGGGGTTGTCCCACATGCCATTATGTACAGTAATAATGAAAGAAAAATGATCAATTATTCCATGTCCTTAACGTCAGAACAATAATATACTACTAATTTAATGCAGTGAAAAGTTGGAACGAGTCGAGACTGAACAGATTTACAATTTGATGCTCTTCACTGTCACAGTCCACAGTGAGGTAAAATGAGGATTCAACATTTAGCTGTGAAATCTAGCATCTCCAAGAAAACTAGTGTTATGTAACCCTCCGAACCTCTAGCACAGTAAGAGCTCCTGTGTAGTCTCTGGTGGCAAGGAAGTCTTCAACTTTTGGTACTTGCTTCCGGCCTTGCGTCTGTTGACTTTGTGCCACCTGACCTTGACCTGTCGCTGGTTTTGATCGTGACAAAATCTGAAATAAGAATGGCAATAAGATAACTGGAAATATTCACTTTCCAGTGTCCATAGCAATCTGAACATGTGGCAACTGAAAAGTCAAGAGAGTGGAGAATTTAGAGATGGACCTGAAAGCACAATTAATGATACACATATTTCAACATTAATTGTGGATAGGTGTGCAGTCAGCAAGCTAGAATTTGATTACACCACTTTTCTTTGCATTTCATTAAATATTCACCATATCAAAAATGTCCCCAATGAAAGTTGCAGATATTAACAATTTATATGTATTGTCATCACTGAATGTCTTATAAATGAGCAATTTTAAAATAATCTGATTAAATTTAATTTGGTCTTCATGTAAAGTTCACAATCGTCCATTACAGACAATAAATTCATTTTCTTGACAACATTTAGTGTCAACTCCCAATACTGTATTTAATCTATACATAACCTTCAGACATAAAGTGTAAGGAGCAACAGACAGATCTTTCTTATTACGGGTTAATTTTATCGAAAGAACTCAGAAAAATGTTAGGCAGACATGATGCATGAAAATATATACATTTTCGTCAGAAAATCTCAATAGAATACATAATTTTGGTGACTTAGGCTGAATTATGGAAAGACAATACCAAAGTGGATCCTTGAGAAATATGCTGAAATCCAGTTCAAAAATAAGCAACTCGGAATAGGGTCAAATGCCGAGCTTCTTTACACAGGCTGATGCACCCCTACATCTGTAAACGTAGAAAATTATTTGACCAGGTAAGTAACAATTAGATCTCAAATGACGACCTATACCATTGAGTTAATTTGTTATTTAAACGGGTGAACAAACCTTCGTTCCCAACATTATTACAATTTATAATGAAATAATTGGGATAAATACCTGGTAAAATTGAATGATACAGTTCTAGAAACAGTTCAGAAATGTCTTATAAACACAGTTTGACTTACCATTATACCTGACAGTATTAAACACTACCCTTTATCAAATTACATTTATCATTATGTTGTTTACAAGCACATACACATATCCACTAACTTATTTTTTCCGGCATTTCATTGCTGGATCTTGCTGCTCTCACGGATTATTACTATCCAGAACATGGTTGTGCAAGTTGTGCCCCTCGTTCCACAGCTTTACACTTTTAATCCGTGGCCAATGCAGGTGTTAGGCGCAGTAGCGCTAGTATGAGCTCCCTCGATCGAATTAAATTCACATTCTTAATGAATAACTACTAATATCCGCAACTATAGTATACTCATTTATATATGGAATCATTCATTCAGTATTAACTTGCAACACCTGTCTAACGTCGACTGCACGGTACGTAATCACGTTATGAACGCCGGCAATGGCGAGAGTTCGACGTAACTGACGGTTGGGAAGTTGCAGAAAAATGTTATCAGGAGTTAAACATATTGTCTTGGTCCTGTCGGGTAAAGGTGGTGTTGGAAAATCGACCGTTAGCACCCAGTTGGCAGTAACTTTCAAAGATTGTGGTTATAAGGTAAAACTTAATGAAACGCCTAATGTGAGGTTAAGTACGTTAAAGAAATAGATTCATTAATGCTGAATGTATGTCCTGTCCCTAGGTTGGTTTATTAGATGTTGATTTATGCGGCCCAAGCATACCGTACCTACTTAATCTGGAAGATAAGGATGTGCATCAATGTCCGCAGGGGTAATAACATCACTTTTCGTAACGTTTTGGTTGCATGATTAATGCTCCCATTTCGTATTCAGTTCGTTCACAGGTTCGCATTTCGAACAAGATCATACATCTTCATTCCATCAAATTCTCCACAAATAAGAATATCTAACTAATTCTAAATTGTAATCACCTGTAAACAATTGTAACTATTGTAATTTTAATCTTACTCATATATTAAATTGTTAATATTCAGAATTAACTTGATTTGGCCTATATCATGTACAATGATCTACAGTGACGAAATAAATCAATCATACATACACAACTTTCTGAAGTTGTTGAATGAATTTTTATAAAATCAGTTTATCAAATATAACAGTATTCAACCCTTTTAAAATTGTAATTCTATACTAGTTAAGAGCAAGTAATTTGTTAAAGCTTTAGTTTGATTTATTTTTACAGTATGGCAATCATTTGTGTTAAGTAATTTAGAGTAATCTATGGTAAAGCTGGAAACTGTAGGGCCAAAATTTAGTGACAGGTGGACTAGAATCATTATGTGGGGGTTGGTAATTGAAAATAAAACCCAGAACAAAATATAATCCTGTAAAGTCATATATTAACATCTTTATGGAATATTAATATATTGCAGATGGGTTCCTGTGTATGCTGACAAAGAACAGAATCTTGCAGTAATGTCAATAGGATTTCTTCTGAAAAACAAAAATGATGCTGTTGTGTGGCGTGGTCCGAAGAAACATGGTGCAGTTACTTCTTCCTTTTCCAATTATGTCATATGGAAATTATCAACATCTGCTTACCCCTTTCAGAATTCAATCTAATGCTGTAATCATGATTTTCAGCAATGATAAAGCAGTTCCTAACAGATGTATACTGGCAGGATATAGACTATCTGATTATCGACACTCCACCTGGAACTTCAGATGAGCATATAACGGTCATGGAAAACCTCAAGTAAGTGGAGTTGGGATCAGTAATAAGGCAAATTGTAAAGTCTTTGTGCTTGATAAAATATTACACTGTGCAGATATATGGGGGGAGGGGATGGTGGTGTAGCTCCACACATCCTTAATCTAGGTGCCAGAGATGAGTGGTCAGCTTCATGTCCTAAGGAAAGAGTCTAGGTAACCATTGAATAGGACGCTGGGTTGCCCTCAGAGCTCTTCTGGATGCTGTGGAGAAGAGAAATATCTCTGATTCATATTTGATGTGCATAAATATACATTATGTGAAGGTGTCCTATACAAATGAAACTAAACGATTATAAATGAAGGATACTGTGTGTGAAGATTGAAACTATGATATATTTTATCAGCAACGAAGGATATAATTTTGATTAAATTCATTCACATGTAGAGAGAGTAATATAAATGTATGCCTACTTTTTGATTGAGGCCCTTTTAATGAACTGTGACGAAAACTTCATTTTGTTGTTTCTCCTAGCACTAGTATGTATTCTTTAGCGAAATTTATAATTACTTACAGGCGATAAAAAACTGATGTCCCCTAGCTTGCCACTTTATTGGTTACATAAGAGAAAACAAAAGAAACAGAGCCTATTAATACCTTCACTGCCAGTCTGATTACCTGTGCCTCTTCAACCGCGTGCAGCAACGCGCTGTTGCCACTGGATACATGTCATTTTACCCCACAGATGTCACTCAAATGCAAAGAAACAATAAGTGTAGCTTGTCAGAGCTTGAAGGGGACAAATCATACAGTGATTATTAATTGTTTTTCACTTCTCTTCAATTTCTATTTTGAATGTAGATGTTCAGAATTAAGTTTTGATAGAAAAATTCCAGTATAGATTCATGGTAGTGAATGTCCTTTTTCAACATATACAGTAGTGGTAGAGGCCCACTTTCTGTAAGTTAAACATTTTAAATTTACAAGGAACCTGTAAGTCAGCTCATAAATTGACATAATCTTTGTACTTAGTACCAAAATAAATATCAGGGGTATGCAGTAGTGTAGTTAGTTGAGGCACTATGCTACAAGCTGGAAGGTCATGGGTTTGAGTCCTGATGAGATGAATTTTTCAATTTACCTAATCCTTCCAGCTGCACTGTGGCCCTGGGGTTGATTCAGCCACTAACAGAAATGAGTACCAGGAATCTTTCCGGGTTTAAAGGGCAACCGGCGCATAAGGCTGACAACCTTATTGCCATCTGTGAGCAGACTGTAGAGAAAATGTGAGAGCTGCGACAGGTCACAACCCTATGGGCCTTCATGGCCTGTTACAGGAATAGCGTTACCTTTACCCCAATAAATATCAGGAGGTCAGCAATTGGAATGGTTCTGTTTCTCTGAAGAATCCAAACAAGACTGATTCGCCCCCCCCCTCCCAGTACATACATAGATACTAGATAGCATGCCAACTACAAGATCAGTCACTGAAGTGTATACCTTTATTCTGTGCCAGAACTCTAAATTGTGATGGAGCCATCTTGGTAACAACCCCCCAGGCAGTTGCCATTGAAGATGTGCGGAAGGAACTGACTTTCTGCCGTAAGACAGGGATACCTGTACTTGGAGTCATTGAAAACATGAGTGGATTTGTCTGCCCTACATGCAGTGTAAGAAGTCCATGAGTTTACCTATGTTCAGATGCAAACTCATGAATGGATTTTTTAAGATCAAAGTTAGCAGATATGTATTGTAATATTACACACTACCTCATATTTTCAGACCTCAGTAAGGTGTAGGGGGGGAAAGAAAAGAAAAGATGTCAACACATTTGCTGTACCTCATGTATGAGACTGAGCAGTCATATTTGGCATGTTCACAATGAAAAGTTGCAAAAATGTGGTCATTAGTTTCACTGTCTGTCCAGGTAGTAATTCGAGAACCAATGAACAGATTTTCATCAAATTTGATACTGGGAAATTCGACTAAGATTGTCGATTGATACATTCCAGTTTTGGTGAAAATCAGATTACGATAATGGCCACTACATGCCGATTCACAAGCATAATGCATTAAATATTTACTGGAATAAGAAAATGTTTTGAAGAAAATGAAAGGCACAGAAAAATGAAACATATTTTATACTTAATAAAATGTCATAACTTTTGAAAGGAGCAACACACCAGAATTAAGTTATGCATATGTTTTCTGATATGTTTAAATGCAGAGCGAAAATGTTAGATATTAGGCATCAAGTTTTGTGTCATAGTCTTTCTGTTGTGTTTCATTCAACAGGAATGTACCAACATCTTCTCCAGTGGAGGTGGACAGTCTCTAGCAAATATAGCTGGTGTCCCATTTCTGGGATGTGTGCCTATTGATCCACGAGTAGCATTAAGCACAGAGAAGGGCCAAAACTGTGTGGCAACAATACCAGACTCTCCTATCTCTGCAGTGTTTCAAGACATAGTGAAAAGCCTCACAAAGCCCAGGGTTGGTGCAGATGACACATCATCATAAAGACATATTGGGACAATAAAGTTTTGCACAGTTATGACTGCTGCAGTTTCAGAAGAAAACAGAATTACTTAATCTTTGTTCGTATTGATACATTATCAGATATTTGTATAAATAGATACGTATTTTTATACAGGATGTGTATAAACTCTAATTAAACACTGAATGATGTGAATTAAACAGATTCTAAGGTTTCAGCAAGATCCATTCCAATTGCTTAACAGAACCTATGTATGAAGCTGTTGTACAACAGGATCTAGAAACTTGAGTCCTTTAATTTTCACCATATGGAGTTTTGGGCAGAAGCATACCTTCCTCTGAAATTTACTGCTGCCATATTCTGCTCCTATTTGTAACTGCTACCAATTTTGACCATTAACATACATAACTAGAGAATATCAAGCCTCAGGCTTATACAGGGTGATTCACTGAGGGAGTTCTTCAAATGGATAATCATAAACACAATAACCTACAAACATGAAACCTGGTGAGTACATACCTCAGTAGATCTGGAGAGAAGTGTGTGAAAGACGTTCCCATCCCCCTGGAAACACTGGCTGATATGATGCACCATGTTCATGAATGTTGCATCGAGCATGGCTGGAGGAATTTCAGCAATTGCAGAACTGGCACAAACCAATCAGGCTGCCAGGCACTGGGCTAGTGTTGCATCATGCACAGTGATTTATAATGATTAATTTGGGACCTCTTCCAAATGAGTCATCCTGTATGTATGTATGTTGAGTTTGAGAAAGATGACACCTGGAGGAACTAGGAACCAATCAACCACAATTTGATATGTATCAGTGTCAAGAATCATGTAATAAATCACTAGAAAATTTGTGCAAAATATTTGTTATGAACAATCGAAAACATAAATATAACAACAATATTCCCTACTTCAGGCACAGTATTATGTACTGTCTCTATTCTCGGTCCCTGATTCAATATTCCTATCCTCTGTCTTTCCCGCGTTATCGCACTCACTCACTGGTACCACTTCTCCAAGTGGTGACTTTGACATGAAAAGCACTGGAACCTCGGCTAAAGCAGGATTACCATCTTTTTCCAAGCTACGGATCCATGACAAAAGAGAATCTCTGCTTGAAGTACCTGTCGCACACATGGCAAAAATAGTTCCATCTTCTTGTTCGTGAACTGATGGCCGCCTAACCACAGCTCGATTTTCAGTGGGGTACTCAAAAAACAGGATCCTCAAGTTACCAACATCTGAAATATAAATGTGTCATTTTCTGAAATATGTTTGTCAAATACATGTCTTTATGTTTTCTTTTTTGTTTATTTTCATTATTGTAATCACTAATCTATGGTTCGTATGAACTGTGACTTCCATTACTATAACACACACCCATTCATCTCTATTATTTACCTTTTGCCTCCATCTTTTCACTTTAAACTCTCAGAAATCATTCTCTTCATCTTCCATCCCTCTCAGTCTGGGCCTTTTTCTACTTCCTGGCTTAATTTCAAAAGTTTTCTTAGCGACCCTTGTTCAATCCAGTCTAATCAAGAGCCCCAACCACCCTAACATTCTCCACTTAACATCTGCTACCAGGTCAGGGGTTCTGTATAATTCCGTTATTTTCATTATCTGGTTTACACAATCTGAAAAGTTTGTGGTAATCATTACTGTTTCAGAGAAACCTGCTGACTCCGTCTTCTCACAGAAGATTACGTTTGTAAGGCTCTATATTTGGGCATTATATGTTACTCATTTATTTACCTATGGTTTATTTAGTGACACTGTCAGCAGCTCAACCTACGTAGTGCTGGGTGGTAGGATGATTAATGAATGATGCATTAGGAAGATGTGGAAGGAGGCAGCAATGCGATATTTCAGGGTACTTTTACAGTATCCACCTGGAAGGACAGGAACACCACTAACACCCTCCATCAGGATGGTGCTATGGCTGAGATTTGAAGTGGACTTCTCTCAAACAGGTCAGAAGTACAAATATAATGTTTTTGGACATATCCATCGTCCTGTCTTTATCTATAAAAAAGACAGGGACTAACTCTGCTGATTAGACTCAACTGAGTAGGTTTTACCTGAAGATGGAGACAGGATCCAGTCTCCAAAACGCTGTGTTTTGAAAAATAAATAGGATGGTTTTTACAGATAAAGACAGGACGATGGATATGTCCAAAAACATTATATCTGTACTAATGTACCATCGTTACAAACTTATTTACAAGTCAGAGGCATTGTTGCTTTAGATAACTTACTGTGTAGATTAATTACTAAAGTAAGGTCTAGCCAAGTACTGAAATAACTTAAGATAAGATGAATGAGTTCGCAAGAAACTGAAAAGGAAGGCCTGTGAAACAGAGAAGAGCTTGCAGGCTTCCCACTGGCCCATATAAAACAGTAATGATAGAAAAATAAGATACAAGGGAAAACAGTGTTGTATGAGCAAATGTACTGCTTATAAAATATGGTAAGAGGACTCATGTTCATGAAAATCATTAGTGTTTGTTATATATTGATATTGCTAAACATACCGTCAATGTCTTGTGGAGGTAGTTTTGGCTTAGGTCTTGGATCTGCACGCAGTATAAAGTAGCTTACTGAAGCATTACGCAGCCATATTCCAAAGGCTCCCTCCACAAATATTGAAACATCACGTGGATGTGCATCCAGGAGTTCCTTCTGCACAGGAGACTGTGCACTCACTATCCATGTTTTGTCTATCGAGTCCTTCACATCACACGCCTGAAATTCAATTATACTTTGAAAGAGGAATGTATACAGTTCTGTAAAATTCTTGAAAATAACAGCAATCACAGCAAAAACAAAAAGAAAAACTACATAAATTAAGAAATCTTTGTAGTGGAGGGGGGATAATGCACAGGAACTGACTTGTGATGTTGGTATCAACATGAAATACAACATACCTCATATAAGGACACCCTGGACTGTAGGTCTATACTACTCATGCGTTCTAATGCCAGCTTTGCAAGTTCTAAACTACAGTTGGGGACTGGATTGGGCAGCACCCATGGTGAAATGTTCTTGAACTTCGGCATCCAATACATCATACGCCAGTATTTGCGCACTGGATGGCCTCGTCTTCCAAAGATGTTGATAAGGAGATGTTCCATTTCTATATCAGGCATCACACCTTGGATGGACAACATCATGCAATATATTAATACATAAATATTAGCTGAAACACTGCAGATATTTTAAAATGAAGAGTGATTTCAGGAAAATGGTTGTCTGACACATGACTGTATCTGCTTTTACCCTAAAATCTCTGCCCATAGACTGTACTTATGTGTTTCATATGATTCTCAGGAAAAGTGATTATTTCCCTAAACAGCATTAACTGGCTGGCCTTTGTAACGGAGCTCAAATGTGTTTTCTGTGAGGTAAGAACTGAAGTGTTAATTATATTTATGAAGTTTGGGGTTCAAAATGTTAATATGGTCATAATTTCATCATTAGATTCATAACAAATTTCATTCCATCAAATTCTCCACAAATACGAATATCTAATTCTAAATTGTAATCAACTGTAAACAATTGTAACTATTGTAATTTTAATCTTACTCATATATTAAATTGTTAATATTCAGAATTAACTTGACTTGTCCTATATCATGTACAATGATCTACAGTGACGAAATAAATCAATCAATCAATCAATCAATGTTAAGTTACAGTAATTGCTGTAAAACATATTGTAATTGTTTAATAGCAACAGACTAATACATGAGAATATTTTAGCTTACATATAAGAATCTTACATAAAATAATGACAAATTTAATCAATAAATAAATACACTGATGGGTTATGAAGAATGCTTTGGTTTCTTCTTTGAAATTCTTTTACGATTCTGTTGAAATTCTAAATACTATATGAAATTAAAATATGGCATCCCATAACAATCAGTAGCTACAGAATTACTAAAAACTACTGGCAAGTGATCCTACAATTCAAAATGTTTATTTTTATAATGTGATTACAAATAAAAACCCAATTCAATTTGGGCATTAGAACATTTTACATTGGATCTTTAACTGTAAACAAAGCTCTAATTCTGACCAGGCATATGTGGTCACCGGTCTGTAAACCTATCCAATTCATCAAAGTATCTTCAGAGATACTTACCATTGTCTTCCATTTTCTCTAGCACGTCAATGATGCACTGTTGTTGTTTGGGATAATGCTGAAATTCTGCTTGAAAGATGTTGGTTGGTATATATTTACCCTTTGGTAAAATATTGATTAAAGACTTGTACACTTCTAAGTCTTTATTAACTCCAAATTCTTCCATGTGACGTAAGGCTGCATAAATAAATTCAACGTGCCCGCGCCTATGAACGTCTCTCGATTCAAATATATGTATCATATCCAAAAATGTTTCCTTTCTCTTGTCTTGAATGTTATCAAAAAAGTCTTTTGTCACTAACGTTTTTTCGGCATTCAGGCGCTTATGTAGATGGATTAACCTACCGGGAGTCCATACAGAATATTTCCATGGTTTAATAATCACGCTTCTTGAATTTACTGTGAATGGGCAGACTGCATGCCACTGTAACGCTCTTGCACTTTTAAAGTAATGCATTACTGAATGCAAGATATAATTTCTATACATGTTTTATTTTACTTCCTACGGTTAATTTAACCTCAACACGACGAAGAGACGTCTTACGACATGCTCAGTGGACACAAAATATATACATTACATTGGCATGGATATTCTGCACAATGCCCATTAAATAATGTCAATGTATATATGACGACAAACAACGTTATTAACATACACACGCGACCACACACGACAATTTTACACTTTATAACCTTACCACCATCTACCTTCTACTTGCAACTGTCGCCATATTGGTCCAGTACAGCCAACCAGTATTATTATTCCCCAAAGAGAAAAGTGCGAAAATTTCACGCAATGCAGGGCAGCCACGAGTTGAAATCTAAAATAACGTAAGGGGCAAATTAAAAAATGGAAAATTTTGTCTATGACTAGGATTCAAGGTATTTTAAACCACTGTTCACAGAAGTGATATTGCTGATATTGTGTATGTAGATAGACTAATAACTAAAAGAGCTGACACAGTGCCTGAGATGGGTATTTAATTATGTGACACTGAACTACGCAGCCTTACATCTCAGAAAACGTTTCAGCTAGATCAGATTCATCATATTACAGTAACTGGTTTTTACTTTTATACTATGATAAGGCTTACATTTGATATAAATTTGTAAGGTGGAACCATCATGACCTTCACATACTGTAGGATCCTGAAATTTGAAGATAACAATACAATAAAAATACGTTTTAGGAAAGTACTGATAAGAGCTGAAAGACGGTTTTGAACATGAAATTAAGAGGAAAATATCGAAGATAAGAGCAAGACAGGAATAACAAGCTAGGAAATATGTTGTGCAGAAGGAAGAATATTGGAGAAAATTGGGGAAAAGCAGTTCCAAGAAGGCAGAAATAAGACTGAGAGGCTTGATTGTCAGATGACCCAGGTTAAGAGGAAACGTTGAAAGGAGACTAAGATTCGCAACCAAGTTCATCCAGTAAGAACTAGAGTAATACTATTCTGACAGGGGTCTAATGAGAATCTAGAGGTGTGTCAATGAGCCACAGTATTTGAAATAATGACTATTTATTTCTTCATATAATTTTTATCAGTTTAGACATAGTCTATACATGTGCAGCCGTAATTACAGTGAAATGATTGCAGTGCCTGACACCAGAATTAGATATCAATCATCACACGCAATCAGATTTGACTATCTGTCTCTAAATACGGCTGATAGTACTGCAATAACATTGTAGTTCGTGAGTGGAGTTAAGATTTTAGGTGTTTCAACAATTAACAGGACAATATTGAGGAATATTAATATAGAACCCATTTATATACTTCTTCTACGCCATTTCCAATCAGATTTGTAAGGCAGAGTAATTTGTAAAGTAAGTTGAAATACAACAAATGCTAATAAGGGAGCCAAGAAGAATTAAAAGAAGAAATTTTTTAGTTTGTATCCCTTTGTTGCCTTAAGTTCACCTAAATAATATTTAAGGATTTCATAATTTAAAAGTTCAGTTCCAACTCACAGAAAATCAACTGATCGCCATTACAGACACCAACTGACTAATGCTCTTTAGGAAAATAATCACGATTTGTGAGAAATGTATGTAACATATACACTGTATGAGCAAAATGAAGAGCTGCTTTTCAGTGTTAAAGCAGGTAGCATGCTAGCAGCCAGTGTGATTTGAAGGACTGAATATTATTCTCTTACACCAGATGATGGAAACTGACCCAGTTTCTGAAACACTGCATTTGAAAAAAGTCACAATGATGGATATATCCAAAATAATTGACACATTTATTGTAACATAACACTGTCAGAAATATTTAGACTCGCACAGAAATTGGTACTCTTCCTGACACGCTCCTACTGTTAGATGCTTAAGCACGTAAAATTAAACAAGGAAAAATTTGTATTTCCAATTATTCACAGATTCATTAAATTACCTGAAGTACAGATTTACTATTCATTTCATACATTGAAATGATTAAATGGTGTCATGAGATGGTATGTATTTTGCAAAGAATTACTTATGCCTTACCATAACCATCATCAATATTACTCACTTTTTATTTTTCAACATTTGAACCATATTACTTGGAGTGATGATTGGTTCAGTTCTTTAGATGTGATATATTATTTTACTTAAATGTTCTGTTTCACTAAATCTGGTGACATATCCAATTCAGATCACAATTGAAGTAAAATATATATGAAGTTGTTAATTTTTACAATTTGTAAAGTCTGGAATATAAATGGGTTGTATAAGATAGATTTAGCCAAGGGCAGAGATTGTTTTCATACAGGACAGACAAGGCACAGGTGGACCAAGAGGTATGAAGATATCATCTTCAAAGCAGATAATATGTATGCATATGTATATATATATATATAAAGTACATACAGGGGTCAACAAATGTTGGCCAAGTTCACCAGTCAGACAAGAATTNTTGCTTCACAAGACAAACTGCGCCTACCAATGGCATGCCATTGTATTTCCTCTGCTCCAGTTTACCGACTGTGGCATGACACGCAGGGTACATAGTGTGCTGTCTGTCATATTATACAATCAGTATATGGTATATAAATCAGTGTTTGATGCCTGAAGATAAATTAAAAATGAGGGCATGAGAGAATATTTAAAAGAAAAAAAAAAGGACAAAGATTTTTATGTTCACAGCTCTAACTTTTCATTTGTCATGGATGAGTATTTTGTTGAGCCCTGCATATATATGACCTTAGTGAAAAGTGGTTATTTAAGACATCATGATAACACTACAGGGTAACAGTTTGTAAATTACTTAGGTAATTTTAGAACCTGGGAACCCTCTTCAAGAAACCAAGTGACTATCATGAGGCCCCAGTAAGCAAACTACTGAAGTTTGTATGAAATACAGGTCTGCTAGGGGGCTAAATTTTTGAAAGGGAATGAACAACAAATCAAAGACAGTCAAGGTGCAAGGGCTGTTTAGTGCAAACCCATTTACACTGCTATATTCATTCATATTCTGACACAAATAAAACTTTTTGTAGTGCAAGTAGTTATTCTAACCCACTGTGTACTGGCCTGACTCATGGGCACATTGTAAGGGTGAAGGGTTGCCTCATATGTCTGACATGAACTTCTCCCCATAGGTTTACTTTGCTGGGCGTTTAAAAAAGATTACAAGGTAATTAAATATACTGCTTAAAGACTGTCTCAAGGGGCTAAAATGTAGGAGTATACCAGTTTATAGCTAACTATTATAGTATGCAGGCTCAGGCTCTTACGCACTGGCTTCACACCATGGAGCCTCTAGTTCAATCCCAGATATGAGATTCATGATGGATGAAGTGGCTCTGGAGCAGGTTCTTGTCGAGTTCCTTCAGTTTTCCCCTGCTAATAATCATTGCATAGTCGTTCCATGTTTGTCTATAACTACCATCTTCAGTTGTGTGACAGTCCTGACCAGGTAGCACATTACCACAGCTCCACACAGCACTTAACTGAACACAGGATAAGGAAGGTAAATTTAAGTATATTAAACTCTGCAAGTCTGAAAAATGTCCTGGTGCTAGCAAAAGCTGTTAGGGAGCAGAACAGCAGCTGTGTGGCCCTAGTCAAATGAATTATTTAGGATCAAATGCATGGCTCATCACAAACACAGATATTACATGGAACCTTGGGGAAGTGCTACTGTTTTATGTACTTTTGAATTATAAATAAATTAAAAAAATTACTCAATAGAAAATCGGGAGCTGGGATAGCGCAATTGGTATAGTGACTGGCTATGGGGATGGACAACTGAGGGGTTGGAGTTGGAGCCCACCCAGCCTCCTATACAGTGGGTACCGGGCTCTTTCCTTGGAGCTAAAGCTGACCACTCACCTGCAACTAGTGCCAAGGTCAAGAAAATGTGGAGCTATACAACCACGCCCCTATATGCCTTCATGGCATTGTGCTTAATTAGTTAAGCACAGGGACAATTTTACCTTTACTCATATAGTAAATAAAACATACTTTAAAAATGGCAGAACAAATCTATGAGCTGAGTCTGCTAAGTTAAGCATTCTATAGCATTTCAGTTTTAATTGAGCTTTGTATTTGCAAGCATCTGAGTCTGATATCTGAACTAGTCACAATGCGATGAGTAAACAATATGACAAGGAATTCTTACCACATGTTATCATGTTGCCTTAGTTTCTGCCAACCGTTATAAATTAATAAACAGTTACTAGTGGACATCAAATATATATTTACCATTAAAATAAAACATAAAACAAATTATCTATCGTGATACGTTTTGAACTGTATACTCCACCATTAAGGATAATGTACTCTGTGTAAGCTATCAAGATTCACAAAGCAAGTGGGTTGATGTAGTGGTAACACTGTCAACTCTATCCTGACTGAGGCCTTCTGTGGTTTCCCACAGTCTCTCCAGGCATATGACAGGACAGTACCTCAATTAAGCAATTTATCATTCATAAATTATCCCTTCATTCCATGTTTTACAGTCCAGCTAATGACAGCATAAACAAAAGATCATAAAATTCATAGAAACTTATTACAAAATATGAATTACATACATGTATCATTATTTTAGAAATGCCCTTTTTTAAATTTCATATGATTAAAATTGCATAGAGAGGAAAAAGATGATCATAATTATGTTTTTATAGTCTGTCAGATAAATTGCATAAAATATGCAGGATTCTTGTTTATTCTTCTGATATGTAATTTACAGATCAGAGGTTCTTATTCTAAAATTTAATTACAAATATGCTGGTTCAGTCCTCTATGGAATCTTATGAAATTAAATTATACTTTTATAACATAAAGATAGGTAACTGAAGTTTCATTTTTAAATGAAGCTGTCCCTGTACTTAATTATGCACCACACCATGAAGATGTTTTTGGGAGTGGAGACATAACCCCATACATTCTTAACATCAGCGCCTTCACACCTCAGGGTAAATAGCCTCTGATACCTACTGAAGAGGAGGCTGAGTGGGCCACAGAGTCAATCTGGACATTGTGGCCAAGAGAAAAGCGTCTACCTGTACCTGAAATCAAACCCAGTATCTCTTGTCATCTAGCCTGTAAAGTAGTCACAAAACTGACAGAGCCAGAAGACTCTTGAGTTTTTTTTTGTGTAAATTCTGTAATTGTGAATGTTGATAACTCACACATTGCATATTGCACCTGAAGATACAATGAGTTTAAAATATGTCTGAAGTTTCATCACCATCATCAGCACACAGCAATGCTGGCTGTCATATCATTATTGGAAATTACTTGATCCTTTTTTCAACATACAATGAGAACTATTTTGCGACACCAGACAGCTTAATGAAGATACAGGATTTTTCTTCCATAAAGTTGCCTACTCTGAGATGCTCCAGAGAGAAAGTTCACTCATAGGGTTCAAAACGTATTATGCAAGATAATTTGTTTCACATTGTATTCTGACAGCAGGTATATATGATATAAGTTAATAATATGATGGTATGGCTTTGAATGTTAATGTACTTATTAGTGGAACTAACAGTAATCAGATTATCTGTAATGAATTTCCTGTAATTCGGTGAAGAGTTCTAAAACATTAAGTATATAACAATAAGTAATGTACAAGCTTCTAGTCTAAAGAGTGTAGTGTTTTTTTTATATACTCTAAATAGCAAGTTAAACAAAATACAAGAATAAAATATAACCAGAATGGATATCACAGACGTTCCAAGTTGAAAAGTAAGAATACTATCAACAAACAGTGAGAAGCAATGAGTTACAAAACAAAACTTGGTGTAAAACCCCTGCTTAAAAGAGATTTGCAGTTTTCTCCCAGTAATTACAATGTCATGTTGCAGACTGTTTATGAGCACCCTACCTACTTTTGTACATAATAAAAATAGTCATATTAATTTGGATAGCTATTCCACAACAGAGTTAAACATAGCACTAGAAAAATAGAGCAATGCAAAATGAAATAACAGAGGCAGATTAATTTGATTTAGCTCAGGCACAAAAAAAAAATGTTTTTTGAAGAATGAACTTCAAATCTATGTCCAGAAGAACTGTCACCAGGGGTGGAAATGGCTTTTTTTTTTTCAGAGGCAGGTAGACACTCCAGATCAGTAGAAAAGCCTGGGGGAATGACAGACACATATTAAAAGAAAATTATTATAATGCAAGCTTGTGTTCCTACATGTATCGTTGTTGGGAACGGCAGTTACAAAATCTTAAGGCAGTGGAAACAGCTTTCTTAATATGAAGTAGAAAGTGTCTACCTGTATCTACCCCGGTTTCAATCCTTGACCATGATATGACATATCCTTGTATTAACTCAAATTGCAATGGCTAATTGCCATACTTAACTGCCCCTGATTTACCTTTCACACTTCCATGATTTCAGTAAACACAATTATTCTGTCTTCTTCCTGAAGATGGTGGCAAAAAGATACTCCAAGACACTGGTACCTGTCTAGCAACCTAGTGACATATCCCAGAAGACAGTACTGTTCATAGTCACCACTGCTGAGAATCTCAAATCCTACAGTGTGTCGTTATATTTAGTGATAACTTATGAATGTTAAGTTTATGTACCTGAACAACTCACATTAAAATACTGATCTGCTAGAACGATGAACCAACAGCAAAATTGCCAGAAGACAAAGAAACTAAGCAGAGGTTTTACTGAGGTACTACTGACAAAATATTTATGTTTCCAGAGGAGAAGAAAGTCCTGCCTGAGTCAGGGTTTTCACTTTCTTTAATTGCTTTGATATTTACTCATCATTTCTGGGACAGATTCACTGAGTTTGGAATCAGTCTTGCACACCATAAACTCTCTATAGAATGAATAATAAACTTATGAAAATCTGCATAATAAAATAGGCCATTATATGCAAGATGATCAAAATGCTGTACACGCTGATAGTTTTTCAGTTATTTTCTGCTGTAAGTCTGTGTTATAATGAGAGTTTTGATTTTATTCATTCTTTTAAAATGTATTTAATTCACTTCTACTAATTCCAGCACTGTGGGCAAGTACTCAGAAGACACAAGAAATTTTTTACACATTAAAATTACAGTCTCCTGGGAAGTGACACCATGCAGTCTTGTAAATACATACCCAATCACAGCATCATAACTCAGAAGACTCTCAATAATATTCACAGTTGTAGCAATCTCAAATATCATTTTACTCACAGATACTCACACCATGCCAGCAATGAAATTTTTGTTTCAACTTTTTGCTGTATAGAGACAATTTTGCAACATACTTTCTGTTCCATATGTGTTTGGGCACAGCATCATGTTTTGATTTCTTGATTTGTGTGAACATGCTATAATAATTAATTTAACATCATGAATAACAACTTCGTTCACATAAAACATAAAAAAATTAGGCTATTATTACACCTGACTCTTTCATATAACTTTCAAACTAATGTGCTGAACTAGGCTTGTGTCAGATCGTTTTATTTGAGACATATTTATATATAAAAAATCTCCATTTGGAAGTATAATTTATTTCAATATGAAGAAGAAATGTTATTGGTTTGATTTGCTAAATTTTTCACACAGATACTTCATTTTGATTGTTAAAGAGGAGTTTATATTACAGTGTTATTAAAGAATCAAAATATTCCACTCAAACACACATAAATCTATTATATCATGGTCCCATCACCTGACCCAATGCAGAACTCTCTCAGAAAGGCATTTCAAGAGATTGTCACAATTTGAAATGGTTCTAAAAATCATGTACAACTATTTGGGTTCATTCCCAACAACAGTACTCCTAGTTCCTTAAAAACAACTGCAAGTTTAAACTAGGAGCAGGCAATTACTGGTTACTGAGTGCTAAGGGAGTCAAACCTAATTCATTTCAGTTTTTGAATGAAAAGAATATCGGTTTTGGTTCAGTTAAACAGAACACAACCATATCCAAAGAGAAAACATTGTTTTATATCTCAGTGTATTATCACATAATTTTAAGTTGTGCTGCACCCATAGGAAGAGCTAGTGCAAGACACTTCCAGTATGTTCTGTTAACACTCATTTATGTTTCATGTTCACCGACATATATAACACAATGTTTTCTGTTTGGGTGTTACTTTAAATGGATCACACTGTATTTTGGATCTCATTTCAAAAGTCTCATACTTGTTAAGGGCTGTTTAGTCACATACAGTTGTCTCTTGGACTATATTCAGGACTGCATTGACAGTGTCTACAAAGTTTGGAACACTAATCTTTCAATCTCCCAACAGTTCTCCAAAAAATCTAAAATACTATGTCAGCATAACAAAATAACATATAAAATACAATTCTGAAGTGGTTAATATTTTATATCTGCATGGATATCACCTCAGAACTGTATTAAGTAAAATATGAAAGATGCTAAAATGCATTAATTTCTAATCAAAATAAATTAATTCTCATTGAAAGTGCTTAATAAGGCTCAGTTTGACTCCCCAGAACTGATAAAATGACTTAACATTGAAGAGATGTTTCAAGTGCAATCAGTTCTCTTACTCCTGAAGACTTTCCCCGTAACTGATTAATGTAGGCCTGTCTAAGGCAGCAGATGAAGAAATTTTACACTAAATGACACAGGTAGATGCTAAAGGTTTCTGACAATCGTGTATAACACTCGTAATTACTGGGTTCATGGACTTTTCCTATCATCCCGTATTCTAAAAAGCAGAGAACACAACACTTTGGAAACTGGATCTGTTTCCATCCTCAGGTGAAGGGGGAGTTTTTGGAATACTGGATGATGAACAAAGTTCAAAAACCCAGTAATTCTGAGTGCTAAAAGACACAAGTTTCTACAACTGTCTCTTAGGGAAGGTGGTGGGAAAGTAAAATGTTCAGCTGGTTCCCATGTCATTCTGCAAAGTTAACAAGCTTTCCAGTATCCATAACAAGATAATAAATGATAATTTTCTGCATCTGCACATATATACATGCATCTACACAAGATGGATAGTCCAGGTAAATTCATTCCCAAAACCAAGTCGATTTTTTAACTAAAAGTTTCTTAAACTGACAGATATTTTGGGCACATTTCATTGTCTCATATTTGATTAAAGGAATACGGTGTTTTGAAAACTGGTTCTAATCCATGGGGACAGAGATTAGCTACATCTAAATGACCGAACAATATTTTACCTGATGATGGAAGCAAACTGAGCTTCCAAAACATTGTGTTCCTTTAACCAAAATGAGATGACAGAAAATGTCTACCATACTTGTCAGTCTAACAACATATCTTGGTCACAACCTTGAGACTCATCTTAAAACTTCTTGTTAAAAGTAAGGAATTTTGCTAAGAGACACATGTCCAGAACATTTTGAATTGATAACTAATATCATTTACCTATATTATAAGTTATATTTTGTGAATGTTTAATGCTACCAATTAAACATAATGTAACTTTATGAAAGGGGTATCTGTACCTATGAGTTATTTTGTTTTCCTGAATTCCTAAAGCAACAGCATTAACACCACATCAATCTTAGGAAAGTAGGGGAAATTGGTCAACTTATATAATATTATTGAACATTAAAACTAAATCCTCCTTTACCAAACTCTAAATGTACATAAAAAATAAAAATATATGTTGTCTCTAATTCTCTGTTCTAATAGACCAGACACATCATCATGCACTTGCTAACTGAGAGTGAACTTATCTTCCATCACTGGCTGCAAGTTGTGACTCTGGTAGCAACAGCTGCTGCTGCTGACTAGTTTCTTCCTCTGATGAAGCACTCACTACAAGCCGCTCTTTAGATCCATCACCTTTATCACCAAACTGATGCATGATGTTTTCACCTTTGGCTTCATCATCCTGCACTGAATGCAGTTCACAACTCAACCTCCTGTCCCTGACACAGCTGCCCTCATCACTTGGAACTGGTTGGTTCCCACAGATGGGAACAGCTGTTGTCTTGACACTGGTTTTGAGGAGTGGCTGCTGTGTCCATGTGTCATCAGGTTCATTCTCAACTGATGGTTGGGAAGAACTTGGAACTGGATCTGTCTCAGATGTACAAGGCGGTGTTGCATCTGAGCTTGTCTGTCGAGGATCTGTGTCTACACTTGTTGCATCCGTATCAGGCGGAACATCTGATGAAGACCCACTTGTGCTTCTCATATTAGAGAAGTTCCTTGCTGTAGACTCCTGTCCAGTTTCACAATCAACACCCAAGTTTCTTCTTCTAGATATAACTTCCACTATTTCATCATGGACACTCTGTACATGAATGTCTGTCTGTCCATCCTCATCTACTGTGATGTTCGTAGACCTTGAGGACACTGGTGACTGAAGGCTTGGTGTCTGTGTGGCAGCCCCATATGGAGGTGGGACCAGCATCACAGCTGGAGCGACACATTCTGGTGACACGTCTTCAGAAGGAGCTGCAGATGATGGACTTCCAAAGCCAACATCAACTCCGAGCTGCTCCTCGCCATGAGGATGTAACCACAGTTCATGTTGGCTGCCCTGGATGCTCGTGCTGCTTACTAACAGTTCTGGGAGGTTGAGTCGTTTTGTGCTACCCATGTCCCGATGCTGGAGTTTTGGAATGGACAAAAAGCCTGCCCCAGCTGGCGGGTCACTTCCAACCCTTCTTACTGGAGTTCTCAGTTCTTTGTCTTTTGAAGCATCAGGAAGAAGCTAAACAACAAAACAGTCACTATTATACACTTTTCCTCATAACCTATAATGGACACTGAGAGGGGCATTAGAATTAAAATTTCAGGCAGAGACCAAGAATGAAATGGTCCAGTCAGTTAATGGAAAATAATAAGTAGAGATGAAAGAGGTGACAACAAACTGGAGACTGTGAAGAAAGCAGTCTTCTGGGATGTGGCGCCGTGTAGATATTGTGTTCACCGATGATTCAGAGGAACATATTGCCTCCAACTTCAGGGTAGGAGACAGGAAGAAATCTGAGAGTGAACCAGTGTGAGCAGGTGCAACAGACTGAGTCCAGTTGGGTAAANAGGGAACAGATGAGAGGCTTCCATGACTTGCTGAGACAAAACCCCAACTCCCTGTTCATATTGTCAGGATGGAGTTCAATCTCAATGGCCTCCCTAATGATGTAATCCATATATTGGGTCTTGGTGGCGAGGATGGAGGTATTCTGAAGTTGAATGCGGTGTCCCAAATTGATGCTGTGTTCAGCCACAGCTGACTTGTCCGGATGTTTGAGACGGATGTGCCGCTGATGCTCCTTCAACCTTATGTCCACAGAACGGCCCGTCTGCCCAATATAGACCTTGCTGCACTCACACTGTCATCTACTCTGAAGATGGAGGTGATACGTTCCTCTGAAACATCGGTTATCACAATGTCTACATGGCGCCACATCCCAGAAGACAGTCACCGCCATGAAAACCTCAATCTTACAAACTGGAGACTGTTTGTCCACTGACCTACATAAAGCAGAAATGATGTTAGAAGAGAAAGACCTGTGGCATGAACAGAAGATGAACTGATCCTGAAATGGAACACAGTTTAAACAACACAAATTAAATTCCCCCTCCTCCTCAAATGTTTCTACTTCATGTAGGGCCTCTAACAAAAATCTCCATTTAACTCTGTCTTTCCAAAGCCTTTCTTCCTCACTTTCTTCTGATGTTCTTCCTTCCCTCTGTGAGACATTTTCCTAACTAGTCATTCCCACTTTCATCTTTGTCTTCACCTTTGGCCATTCCTTTGAGTAAATTCAAATGTTAACTGACAGGTTTCAAATTTTGTCTACAAAGAGAATTCTGCCATGACTATACTGGCTGGAACACAGTACCCACCAGAAGCATAATGAACTACAAAACACTACAGACTGACCTCCGCGTAACCACTGAAAATTACTGCCTTCTGGGATGTGATGCTGTGTAGTCCGGTAGATAGTCACCAAATATTTTAGAGGAATCTGCAGTCTTTGTCTTCACACCCTGAAGATGGAGGCAAGCAGTTCCTCCAAACACTGGTAAATATGTATCAGAATAACTGGCAACACACCCTAGAAAATAATAATTTTCATACTCACCACTGTTAAGTATCTCAAGTGGCCAAATTTTGGAGGGGTCTGAGTTCATACACTGTTTCTGAACTTTAGCTGCATATTTACATTAGATTTAAGTTGGAAAGGTTCCAAGACAGCAGCCCAGAAAAAGATCACCACAAACTGAAAGTGTCACTATAATATCCAGGGATATCCACACAGTGAAATGAACTGGACATGAGTACTGCATTGTTTACCCAAGCACCGCCATCCTCTTTGTGTCGGGCTGGTAGCCTGTCCTCCATGTTTGACGAGGAACTGTAAACAGCTGTGTAGCCTGTGGCAGGATAGGCGGGAGGGGTACCCGGAGGGAGAAGCAGACCGTGGTGGGAATGGAACGTCTGTCGTCTCTGCGAATGTCGGTTATGGCAACTACCACGATGATAGCGACGGAAGTCTCCAGAGGCAGAAGATCCACGTCTTTTCTCATGGAGTTGTAGCAAGATCTCTATAAGAGCAGAAACTGCAGTCAACATTTGGAAATATTCTTGTTATCAATACAAATACTATATACACTGCCATTTGCTTGTGAGTGAAAAATGTTGTACAATTTCTGAAAGTGTATTGGATTCACTCAGTTAAGCTGCGGCACACAGCAGTGTAGTTGGTTGAGACACTATGCTACAAGCCAGAAGACTGTTGGTTCGATCCCTCATGAGGTCAATGAATTTTTCAATTGACCCAACCTTCCAGCTGCACTATGGCCCTGGGAACGACTTAGCCTCTAACAGAAATGAGTAACAGGAATCTTCTTGCAGGTGAAGGGTGGCCGGCCAGTGTGTAAGGCTGACAACCTCACTGCCCTGTATGAGCCAGCTTTCTAGATAATGTGGGAGCCTTGGCATCTCACAACCCTATGGGTCTCCATGGCCTGTTACAGGGACAGCATTACCCTTACCTTTATCTCAGTTAAGATAACTCTGTTTTGAAACAGGTTCTGAACCTAAGATCCTCTGCCCTGATATCATCTGTGCAGCAGAAACATCAGAAAACTTGAAAGGGTGTACTTTATAAGGTAGTACACAATATTTCTAATGGTGCCTTATGAGGTTTATTATGCTTAGTTCAAAATCACAATAATGAAATGCCATTGTCAAGCCATTCTAATTTTCCACCACATTAATCTATACTGACTCCTAGTTCCCATAATGCAATATGTGAACTTTTCCAAGTATCCCATAACAGTTTCACATATTTTGTTGAAATTAGAATTACTGCTTCATGGAAGTCTCCCATGCCAAATTTCAACCTGTTTTTTGAACAATTTATGGGAGACACAGAAAAGCTGATTTACAGCCTTATGTGAACTAGGCTTTATTACGGATCAATATGTCTGAAAATTGAAACTGACCGACAGCTTTAAGCTTTAAGTCTCCAATACTGAATTTGTGATGTATCCAGTTGTTAGGATTTGATACTAGGTCACACATAGGGCAGACAGAGATACATGCCGTCATTGCAAGACTTTTTTTTTTTCACTTTGTGATAGAATTCCTAAAAATGTAATGCAATGATCCAAGAATTTTTGTATGACAGTATCTGTGAGCTTTCTGTAATAATACAAATTATTTAGCTGAATGGATGCCTTCATTTTCTTGATATGAAAGCACTTTATTTTTATTTTACTCTGTATTCCATATATTATCCCTTTACTATGTTCACTTTCTTTACAGTTTACCTTTTACCCCTCTTTCAGTGAACAAACATGGCTCTCTACATGGCCACACAATCTGATTCATTTTATACCACCCTCCACTACTTCATTCTTACTCAGTCCTTCTCCCCCCTTCTGCATATCACTAACCTTGTTTTTGTTTCCCCACAAGAGTTACTTTTCTGCAGAAGACAGCAGCCTTTACAGTGGCTGCCATGAGCACCTCAGACCTCTCATTTACACTAACCTTCCTGCGTGTCCAAACTGCCACGAGGGGAAGAGAATGTGAAATTTGCTGGCAGCGACAGCACTTTGCCAAGAGGCTTCTTTACTTGCTGCTGTTCCTGTTTTTCATTGTCAAGGGCCATCTCCAGTGCATGCTGCAAACCCAACTCATCTTCTTCCTCTTCCAGAAGCTCCTCTTGCTCTGCAGCCAGTTCACGTTCCAATTCCACCTCCATGTCTAGCTCATCCTCCATCTGTGGTAAAACAGCATTACAATAACACAGATGCTTTCAGTCTTACTCAGACATTCAACTTCCAGACACATCAAAACAAACTATGTGATTTCAGTCTGCAAGTGAATTATACCGACCGAGTTACCGCCGCTTGTCGGCGAAGTTTAGCGCCAACTTTTGCGGATAGAGGGTGTCGCATGGTCAGCGCAACGAATCCCCATGACCGTTAATTTCGGTTTTCTAGACCGAAGCCGATATTTCCTTGAAATAGCTCCTTAATTATCATCACGAGGTTGAGTGGCCCCCGTTCCAGACCCACTACTCAGAAGAAATCTGGTAGCGCCAGGAATCGAATCTGGACTTTTGGATCTGTAGCCAGGAATGGTGACCACTAGACCACACGGGCGGTCTCCAGACACATCAGCGTAAACCAAAATTATAACATATCTGAAGACTACACTGTGAGAATGTACAGAAATCTCATTGCTAATGGGAGCTTGGAGTAGGGTTTGAAATGCCTCTTTAGAACTATTTAAGGGTCTTCAGTTCAGAACCAGATGGATGATACAGATTAGTAGGAAAAAAATCCCGGAGTATGACCAACTGATACAGTGAAGTAATCTGATGGCTAACTGAAAATCAGAGACAGACACCCGTTGTGCCAACCATGATCATGGTCTCGACAAAGCTACAGCCTATCCACACTGCACTTACTATTCAGCATTGCCCCAATAAATTGCAGAACAGTTACTGTGATATGAACCTATGTGCTGAGTGCTCTCAGTCTAACCCTGTATCCAGCATTCCGCCATGTTACTTCTTGTACTGAAATGGCACGTGTGAGGTACACGCTGGAGCAATGCATTTTCATATATGACACCTATGTGATGAGCAGACATGTAAGAGAGGTAAGTTTTAGGATGTTACTGTTGAAAACAGGAAAACTGTTCACATATTCCTAAATAATTTTTGAGACAGGCAGGGTTGTTAATGGACAGAAATGAACCAAATCAAAACCCATAGTTCTTGGTGAAGAGAAATTGAGTTAGGTCTGAATGTTCACCTCAAAAATTCGCCAGATGCATTGCACAGGAGAACAAAGTTTAAAATATGTCAGTATGAACTGTCACAAAACTCCTGCAAACCAAATAAGACAACAGAAGTTGGGCAGCACATATTTCAGTAGCTCTCTTCATGGTAAATGTTAAATGATTCAGTGGGGCAGTATTCAAGACAAACTGTAACATGTACAGGCTCCTGGTTCTTTCAGTCTGACACCAGTGGCAATCTGTGTCGCTCGAGTTGACACAGGCAGGGTCTGTCAGTCTTGCCTGAGCAGCCGAAAGATTATCAGGTGCCCTCAAAAGATTTCAGTGTGCTATAAGGAAATTACTATAATGTAGGTTTGGACATATATCACTCTTGAGAACAAGAGTTATGGCATCTTAAGGCACTAGAAACAGCTCCTCAACAAACAGGGCTCAGAAACTTAGTGTGAGTCTATCCATTACAAGCTCCAGTTCTGCACTGATGTTAAGCTGCGAGTCCCCTCTGGTGTCTACATAACACAATCTGGGACTGTCTACTGCCTCTCGTTGACTCTGCCACTCTCATTGAGATGGTCTACATTAGATGGATCAACAATCTTTTAAAAGAAAGCCGTCTTCTGAGATGTGCGCCGTGTAGATCTCGTCCATCTGCAGCCACCTGCTCACGCTGGTTCCTGGTTCGCGGATTTTTCTACCCTGAAGATGGAGGTGATACGCTCCTGGAAACGTCTGTTCACATAAGATGTATATGGTGCCACATCCCAGAAGAAGGCATTCTTTATAGCCCCCACCATGTAAACCTCAAATCTTACAACATCCTTTTACTCATTAATAGTACTCATTTGTCCAAAATGGGTTGGAGAGTTGTGAAAGTCTGCAGTTTCCTTAAACTGAATTCAGTTTGTCATAACCGAGTTTTCTCCATGAATCATTTTTACAGATACCTATAGAAAGCCAATGACCTAAGATTACTGTCTTTTCGCATGTGATGCCATCTACTTTGACAGATAAGATACCAATGTTGCAGAGGAACCTGCTGTTTCCATCATCAAGACAACGGCAATAGCAGATTCCTTCAGAGCTTGATACCTGTCTACCAAAGTACATGATATCAAATCCCAGAAAATCTTGAGAACCTCAGATCTCATGTAGTGATGCCACTTACCTGCTTATGAGATTCTTCGAGATGCTTCATGAGTACAGCAACAACAACATTAACAAGAACAAACTGAGCCATGAGAACGAAGATAACAAAGAAGATAGGTGCGATGACAGTGGACACACAGCAGTTACGCACGCAGTCCGCTTCATCGTCACAGTCGTCACGGAGCGTGTCCTTCATTATGCCATTCCAATTGTCGCCTGTCGCCACTCGGAATAATGTGAGGAATGCCATTCCGAAGTTGCTGAAGTGGGCGTGTTCTCCGAGACCTTGACATGGGTATTGCTCGCTGCATTCTGGATGGAATAGTGGACATAGTTACAGCTGACATAAAAAGCATATTCTTAATACATTCACAGTAATTATCGTTTCTCTTCTAACTCTGCTAACAAATTCTAATTGCAATTTCTTCTACAAAAGTTTTATTTCTAATTATAACATTTTCAAAACAACGAATTTAACGGAATAAAACCGTAATTAAAAACACTGTTTAATATGGATCTTAATAAACTCAATACGTATATATGGGGATCTGCTAGTGAAGCCATGTGTAGGGACAGAAAGTATGGATCTACATGTGACACACTGACCAAGCCTTCCGAAGAGCTCAACTCCTAAAGCAGCGAAGATGAAGAAGAGAAGAAAGAAGAGCAGGCCGAGGTTGCCGACCTGCGGCAAAGCCTGCATCACCGTGTCCAGCAGTGCCCGAATTCCCTTCGCCATTTTCAGCAGCTTCAGCACTGGAAATGGAATGACAGTCAGAAACTGGCAGCGATTAAAGCAACAGTTCACATATCAATGTTTCGTACTTACTTCATTCAGAATGACTCAGTTTATTCTACTGACCTCTCGCTATTCGTAACACCCTCATCACTCGAATGATTGTAGGATTGATTGGAATGATCTTGGACTCTACTTCCTCAAGTATGATGCCAACAATTGACAGGATCACTATGATAACGTCCAGCTGATTCCACCTACAAAAGAATTATTAACAGGTACTGAAATGTCTGCTAAATATTCAACAGAATCATTTGACAATTCCCATCTCTAGCTATGGTTTCCACACATAACCCCTCCACTAAACCATTCTTATATAACACAGCCCTTGAGGGACTCTTTAAAATCATGATTTCATTCAGTATGCACACCCTGGTCTTGAAAATTTCTGGAAATGCAGCTTGATAAAATGTAAATTATGTAGTATTTCTAATACTTCCAAATACTGTCCAAAACTGTAAAATAAAATCACTGAACACACTGCTTAGAAGTGACTGTATGATATCACCCTTTGTGCAGTCCACTATATCTGTGGTGTGGCAACACTATCAGGTCAGGTATTTTCACACGCACACAAAAAAATAAGGGTGAAGTTTCTTGAATGAATTTTGAAGTACTTTATTTCAAGTAATTCTAAGAGAGAGCCAACAGATGGCAGCGTTCTGGATTTTTACTACTTGTCAGTACAATGCCTAGGAGATGGGTCAGAAATTTTAAAATATCACAGAACAGATATTGTGCTGTGACCTGACAGGACTGCCGTGTGAGGACGCATATATTTCTGTCATGAATCTGAAAAGCTTCAAACATTCAATAGAACCATGTGAACAATACAGCAACTTAACTTGGGATCTATGCAAATGCTACATATTGCAGGCCATTAGCACTATGCTTAGTGAGTATCATACTAAAACACTGCTAATCCAAAGATTATTTTTTTTTTTTTGGCTGTGGTACAACATAATCTTGTAAATCGTTGCCAATATTTTGGAGGTTCCTTCTCTGTCTTCACAGTAAAGGAGTAAGTTGAGGGCAAAATAAAGTGATATGAATGTAGGCAGAGAAAAGCCTAAGAAAATCTAAGAAGACAACAGAAACACAGAGAATAGTGTAAAGAATACTGGCTCTTAAAAGGGATGAAGATTATGGCCTTCTTGCTTGTAGTGCCATGTAGTTTGAAGAGAGCCCAGCATTTCAGTTGAACATTTTTACCTCCATCTTCAGGGTTTAAAGTAATCCAAGCAAGAAATTAGCAGAAGCAGGCAGCAGGCAGCAAACTAAGCTTGGCTCATTCTTTTCCCCTGAAGATGGAAGTGTCATCTTCCTCTAAAACACTGGACTCTCTCTGAACTACCCGGTGCTGCAACCCAGAAGCCCATATGCTTTGTAGTCATAACAAGAATGTCAAATCCAATTTTTCTGGGGCCACTTTCCATCCCTCTATATCCCTACAATATTCTTCCACTCTCAGCCTACTCTTCTATCCTGATGTTGAAGACAGCAGGTTCCTCCAAAATGCCAGTTACAGCCTGCCACATTACACGTCACAAGCCAGGAGACAGTAATCCTCAATGTTAGGCCACGCCATAGCTCAAGCAGGTTAGTCGCTGGCTTCCCACCGCGGCGGCCCGGGTTTGATTCTGGGTCTGGTCAAGTGGGATTTGTGTTGGACAAAGTGGTGTTGGGGCAGGTTTTGTCTGAGTACTTCGGTTTCCCCTGCCAATCTTCATTCCACCAAATTTTCCATCATCATAATCACCCGGGCCAGGCTACAATAGGCCAATCGGTGGCCGCCATGCTGAATGGACTCAGTTGGACTCCACCCCCCACTAAGTGAATTAAAAAAAAATCCTCAATGTTAATCTGATGAGCATTACACAAAGGATATCTGCTTAACAAAAGCATTACTTACTTGTCTTTGAAATACATGTGAAATCCTAAGGCTACGAGTTTCATTACAGATTCCAAGATGAAAACCGCGGTAAAGAAGTAATTGAAGATCTTCAGTGCATATGTCAATGCCTGTATGGAAACATTAAAAACAAAAATGGCGGTATTAAAAGAAGTATGTGTCATGTGTTAGCTTATTACAATTTAGTGTAATGTCCAACTTACACAAATTTATTGACCAGCAATAAAAATGAAACAATATGTATTTCTTTTTTACTTTAAATAAACTACTTTTTATGAGGTTAGGAGGAATAGAGATTAACATCCTTCAACCCATAAAAGAGTTTTAGAATTCTATAAATTCTCATATATATACATATATACATTTGCCTTTAAGCAAACACAGCATCTGACAATGCAAAATGTGTGGATCTAGCAAAGAGAGAGATCTGTGAGACAACACAAAGTAAATGATTCAGGCAGGCACTTGAAGGTATCAAGAAGAGATTGCAGACTTTATCCACTAGCACATTAGAGAATTGAGATAAAGAATACCATTTTAAAGACTGATATTAAGAATTAATGTTCCTACACACCAGTGAGGTGAGCCTGAGTGGGCTTCATCTACACAATTATTCCCCACATGTCAGCATCATATCAGTGGCAGTAACACATCATTATAAAAGGTAAAAGGTAAAGTTTTCCCTGTAACAGGCTGTGGAGGCCCATAGGGTTGTGAGAAGTCGAGGCTTCCACATTTTCTACATAGTCAGCTCACAGATGGTGGTAAGGTTGTCAGCCTTACTTGCCGGCCGCCCTTTACCACCAGAAAGATTCCTGGTACGCATTTCTGTTGGAAGTGGAGACACTTCAGGGGCCATGATGCTGCTGGAAGGACTAGGTCAATTGAAAATCCACTGACCTCATTGGGAATCAATCCCTCTGCTTGTAGCACAGTGCTTCAACCAACTATGCTAGCGCATGACCCCCTTCCATGTCTATTACACTGAATTTGAACTGAAAAAGAATTCTTACTAATTCAATTTTAAAAATTCGAAAGCACTTGGCAATAAAAGGGTGTTCATTAATATCATCATATGCATGATGTAATTATAATGGGAAGGGAGAGAGATACCAGCGGCGGCATGAAAATATCAATACGTATGCTGCAGAAATAGAGCAAGAAATAAGCTGCAAGGGAAGAAGGGTGTGTGGACCTTGGCATGGCTGAAAGCCCTCGAGTCATACTAACTAACTCACATTGATCAGAGTCCTTCTTCGCAGTTAATATTTGTTTAGGCAGTCAAGAAATTTCTTGCCTGTTATGAAATGTGTTTACAAGGGCTTGCCACTGCTCCCTAGCCTGAGCTAGATGAATCCAGTCCATATTTTCCAATCCTACTTCTTTAAAAGAGATCCATTTTAATATTGTCTTCCCATCTACAGCAAGGACTTCCAAATGATGTCTTCCTTAAAGGTATTCCCACCGAAATATGGTACTTGTATTATTTCAACTTAAACTTCTTTCAAAGGATCTATCAGCTATGTTTATATCATGACTTTGTATTTTGTTCTGGTGACAAGACAACATATATTTAGTTTCCTCTGTGTTTACTTCTAGGCCAACCTCCTTGTTAGTGTTTCTCTGTATATGAGTTAGTGACACAGTGTTCTAGCGTACCTTAGGCATCAGGTAGAACTCCATTGCCATTGTCACGACATTGAGCCCGATGACTGCAGCTATAGCCAGGTCAAAGTACTTGGATGTGACCACATTATGAACCATCAGCCTTGAGTGTGAGTAGTTTGTATAGTATGGTGGTTCGTGCATTTCTGAAACACAGCAAAGTTGAAATTAAGAAGATTAATGAAGAGTACAGTCTTCTTGGTTGCAGTCTGGAGACAGCTCGTCATTAGAGCTTCAAATGTTTCTCAAAATATAATGCGAAACATAGTTACAATAAAGTTCTATGGATTGTCAGAATGTTATCTTGAAAAATGAAATTTTTGTATAATGAAAGACATTAACACTCACTGTAATGAAAATTATCTGCACAAAGAAACCAAATAAACCATTACTGATTGTACCTGGAATGCAAAATATGGCCTAAGACAAATTCTTATCATTACTTTGTGATGGACCAAACTTATTTCAGGTGATCAGTCACATCAAAGTTGAGTCATAAACCCTGATAATGAAAACAGAGCAGGTCTCTAAAATGTTGGTTTTTAACTCAACCTTGACATTGCTGGGCATAAAAGGAGATTTTAGTGTGTCTTATTCACTGCAAAATCTTCAGGTCTTACAAGGGTGTTATGTTTGCAAGTTGCTGTTAGCAGATTAGAAACTGAAAATGGTACATCAGATAAGGTGTAGTGACATTCCCTCATACACAGATGCAATGTAAGGAAAGTGTGGAATGCCAGTCAGTCAGCCATGCCTAGAGGCAGAGCGTAGGAATGTGTGGAGAAGTCTGTATAGACGTAAGTCACGATTATGCAAAATTATAAACATACTTCGTCTCTTTTTCTCCATCTGCTTTGCTCTTTTGGCAGCACGCCTCACTCTCTCCTCTTTTTCTTGTTCCTCCCTGCAGCGATGGAAGTTCTCAACCACAACACCGACGAACATGTTGAGCACGAAGAAGCCCACCAGGAGAATGAATGCAATGAAGTAGAGCAGTCGCCACTCAGAATAGTTCTCTATTGGCTGAAAACAAGTAAAGGATCCAGTAGCACCTTAGAGTTGTTTAAATGATCAATATTCCAATTATGAGGCTCAAAACAAAAACAAACTCTGCGGCCTGTAGTCCGCAAGCGAACTATACCGACTACACTCTGCTTATCGGCGAAGTCAGTGCCAGCTTTTGTGGACATGGTCAGCACAATGGATCCCCACATCCATTAATCTCAGTTTTCTAAACCAGAATTATGAGACTTAGTTTACTTTTTCGTCTTGTGCATTATTACATGTAAAACTGTTACGAATGCTTCAGACAAACCCACTGTCTCCATCATCAGGGTAGGAATACAGGCAGCATGTGGAGATGACAGGCATTCCCCCCCACCACAGTATTTGAAAAATAAGAATAAAAAACATTAAAATGAAGGATCTTGAACAGAGGTTTGTGGCACCATCTGTGTTTTAATATTCAGACCCACAACCCTACAGAGTGTAGTGCAGATCGAGTCTTTAGTAGCTTAAGTCTGTAAGCAGATTCCTTACTGATGGCCACCTATCCTGAGCCAGATGACTCCGTTCCACACTCCCCCAAATTAACTATTTATGATCAAGTTTCTTATTATCCTCACAATAATACAAAGGTCATCAGCCAAAATTTGTACATATTTCTTGCATCTGCTATGCTACATGCTCTACTCACCCCAACTACCTCATCCTTCAGTATAAATACAAAGCAACTAAGGCATAATACCATATTATGTAAACAGTCTGCACTGTTGAGCGCTGAGAACTTACTTGCTGATCCACACCAACAGCATCGAGACCAGTGTACATTATGTTGACCCAACCATCACGTGATGAAAGCACAAACAGTGACATGAGAGCTTTTCCAAGGTCATCAAAGTTGTATTTGCGGTTTATCCACACATTCCTGTTATCAGCTTCGCAGTCTGTCCTGTTTCTCACATTCTTAATGTTTGGACCCTCACAGTAGTAAAATGCACCTTTGAACAGCTGTGGAATTAACAAGAAATATTACTTAGTCCGTAACACATCGTCAACATGATTTTTGATGAAGAGTATTCCATTAGAGATGTGACACAGTTCACGGACCCTTCTTACTTGTTACTTGCCTAGCGTACTTTAGCCCTGAAGGAGGAGGCAGTATGTTTCTCCGAACCTTTTGTGAACTTTCACCACTGTATAAGGCGTCACATCTCAGAAGAGAGTACTACTCTCTATAGTAATACATGATTTATTATATTTTTTGCTCCAGGCCAATGCGATTTTTGATACTTTCACCTCAAGTGACAAAGACTTTTTATGTGCATATTTTTCCAGGCTATAACAGAAAATCGGTTTTGCTGAAATGAACTGTACTGAGTAATGTCACGTTATGATTCAGTTGCAGATGTTTCTGGTACTGGAGATGAAAATGGCGGATGCCTCTTGACAAAAAGTAAGTAAAAAAGTGACTTAGGGAGAGAGTACATAGGTAAGTATTGAAGGAGGACTCACCTGAACACCTAAAATTCCAAATATGATGAAGAAAGTACAACAGATGAGAACAATGTTCCCAATAGGTCGAAGAGAAGACAGTAAAGTCTGAACCACAAGTTTCAGACCTGGAGCTCGATTTATCACACGCAGAGGACGTAGCGATCTTAACAGCCTAAAAACCTGAAAGAACAAAGTTTGTGAATCTGCACTGAAACAAAACACATCATTATGAGTATATAAATAGCAAAAGCCAACTGAAATTTCAATGTTAAGCTACAGCAATTATTAGCATTGTACTATGTCACACTGTAATTATTTCAGTCTCATCCACTTCCACACACCACAGCCCTTGAAGGAAAACTCTGAAGTCCCAGTTTCACTGAATATGTACACCGTGAATTTGGAACTTGTGGGGAAGAAAGTTGCATTTATACTGACGTGCTAAAATCAACTGATAAACAACACATGCTAAGCAGCTCTACTGTGTAGAGCAGGGGTCTCCAAACTTTTCGAAACTCGGCCCACATTAGGTAATTCAGCACTTTCAACGGGTCAGATAAAATGAGAACTTATTAACTCTAGGTATATGAGTTTTAATGAAAGCACAGAATTTTATAAACTAAATACAAAGCACATGAGAATAAATTATTGTATATTAATGACAACAGACAGTAGCAGCAAATGCTCATATTTTCATCACAAATTATAATAAAACAATTAATGTGAATGATGGAACTCTTTTTGCATTCTTAAAATCTGATTAAATTGAGGTTCAAATTTTGAAATGCTAATCACAAGTAGCGACCTCAAATGTTCATTGGATAAATTTTCTCTGTATTTCGACTTGATGTGCTTCTTCTGGGAAAAAGTTTATTCGCACAGATATGTCGTCCCAAAAATGGAGATAAATTTACAAGCAAATTTCTTTAAATTTGGAAATTGCTCAGAGTTCAGAAACTTATAAAATTCAATCAAATTTCCTTCCTTGTACTTGTCTTTAATATGATAATTTTCCTGAGGTTCAGTAATTTCCATTTGAATTTGACTTGGGACATCTGCAGCATCACAGTCAATTCTTTCGCGGGCCAGATAAAATCACATTGCGGGCCATAGTTTGGACCCTTGGTCTAGAGGTACGCTATGAAATTTTCCAGCAACTGTGACTTAAGCATGATCCCCACTGCCATTTATTGCTATCCATTTCTGCTCCTATTTGTAACTGTTGCCAAGTTTCACTGCTAACATAACAGTAAACGCACATAACGACAACAGCAAGTGCTAGAACCACCACTGCTATAGCAACTGAAATTGAGATGAATGCTATAAGAGCTCATATTTCTGGACTGGATGAGATCGGAAGGGCATGTAGCACGAATGGTGGAGATGAAGAATGCATATAGGATATTGGTGGGAAAGCCAGAAGGAAGGAGACCACTAGGAAGACCAAGACGTAGGTGTGGTTGGACAATATTAAAATGGATCTTAGAGAGATAGGATTCGATTTATCTGGCTCAGGATCGGGACAAGTGGAGAGCTCTTGTGGAGATGGTAATGAATCTTCCACAAAATGCTGGGAAGTTCTTGAGTAGGTGCACAATTGGCAACTTCTCAGGAAGGGCTCAGCTCCATGAGTGAGTGAGTGGGCTGTTTCTTATTCTATGGGTTTATGTACATGAGAAATGTCACTGGCATATTGTGTAAAGCAGATGGATGGGCATAACCGAGTGAACCAACACAACAAGATGCTACAGTACAGAACTGTTAGATGTTCTGGATAGTAAGACTTAAACTCTAAATGATCTTCACATACCCTGAGAATGTTGAATATCCGTGGGCTACCCTCTGATATCAGGGACATGAGCAAATCAATTATGGAAATGATAACAAGTGAACCATCCATTATGTTCCATCCTGATGTGAAATAAGCCTCTTGTCCATACACCATTCCAGCAGTGATCACCTAGAAAAGGTAAATGGATTGTGTAGCACTGTCTCACTGAATTTTATGGAAGCATTACAACTCTCTTTGCCACAATTATCAAGATACATGATATTTTATAATAATAAAATACTGGAATCTGCCACTCTTTCATTAATTGCATACTGAATGACTGCTTGGGCCTATTTTATGGCATTGTCACTAACAGCTATCCCTGTAACAGGCCATAAGGCCCATTGGGTTGTGAGATGTTGAGGCTCCCATGGTGGTGAGGTTGTCGGCCTTACTCGCCAAGCTATCCCTGTAACAGGTCGTGGAGGCCCATAGGGTTGTGAGATGTCGAGGCTCCCACATTTTCTCTAGACTATCAGCTCACAAATGGCGGTGAGGTTGTCAGGCTTACTCACCCATTGCTTTTTACTCCCCAGGAAAATTTCTGGTACTCATTTCTGTTTGAGGCTGACTCAACCCCAGGGCCATATTGTGATTGGAACGATTAGGTCAATTGAAAAAATCCACCTCATTGGCTTGTAGCATAGTGCCTCTACCAACTACACTACCGCGTGCCCCCATGACACTGCCACTAGTCAGACTATATAGCATTGAATGGTAGGGTGAGAAATCAATGAAGAATGTGAAAGCAAGCAGTCGTGATGCAATCACATATTACAAGAAACAGAACAAGAAGGTTGGTTTAGTGGCAATGCTGATAGAACTGGGTTTGGAAGCTGCCCATTCAAATTTTGGCTAAGACACTAATTATCTTGCTTGAATGGCTTCCCTCAGTCCCACCAGGTAAAGGTTGCCCTATTACCTCGATCAGGCAATGAACACTTTACTCCAAACTCCTTCCGATGTATCTCCAATTCATCCTACTGTCTGATGCTGTATAGTTTAAGATACTCACAGCATCATTAAATATCCTCCCCTCTCTTCCCAAAGAAATATATTATACTATAAAATTCAATTCTTGCGCTGGTACATTACCTTTACAAACATTTCTACAGCAAACACCACCGTGAAAATGTAATTGGCAGTAGAAAGAAATATACGCTCAGTGCTGTCTGGTGGGATGTTGGGGCGCTCCATCGCCAGGGTGATGCAGTTCAGGGCGATGAAGAGGAGGATCACATTATCAAACCACTTCCTCTCTACCAGTTTCTTGCACATTAATCGGAACCTGCAATTACCAGAGATGGCAACTCCTATAAATTGTACATAAACTCCATTTTGTTACTGTCAGTTCATGAATCAGACCATTACCTCACCATGGCCGTGCCATAGCTCAAGCAGTTAGTCGCTGGCTTCCTACTGTGGCGGCCCGGGTTTGATCCTGGGTCTGGTCAAGTGGGATTTGTGGTGGGCAAAGTGGCATTGGGGTAGGTTTTCTCTGAGTACTTTGGTTTCCCCTGCCAATCTTCATTTCACCAATTGCTCCACAATCACCCTCACCTATCATCTGGGCCTGGTACAATAGGCCAGAAGTGGCCGCAGTACAAGGGACTTAGTCCCACCCCACTAGCAATAAAAAAAAATTACCTCACCATCAGAGTTACTAGATTCTATTTGCAACATTTCAGCCACACCAAACATCTCATTAAACATATTATCCTTTTCTTCCATAAGATTATCTATAAATGACATACCCTATGAAGAATGTTGTCTTCTGGGATGTGGCATTGTATAGACACTGTGTTAACCGATGTTTCGGAGGAAAGTATCGCCTCCATCTTCAGGGTATAAGAAATCCATGAGTGAGGAACCAGTGTGAGCAGGTGGATGGAGATGGAGGCAATACGTTCCTCCAAAACGTTGGTTCACACAATATCTACACGGCGTCACATTCCAGAAAATGGCACTCTTCATAGTCACCACCGTCAAAACCTCAAATCTTACATATGACATAGCCTAGTTTGTGCAGGCGGATGGAGTCCACGTGTTAGCACATTAGGAGATGTACGTAAAGAGTAAGAGCACTGGCACCTTTGCTCCCTCTAGCCCCAGTTTCCATGAGTTTGAAAAACTTACATAAACAGGCAATGTCACAAACGACAGTCACATTTATAGTAACAATTGTGTTTTAAACAGTTAAATGAGTGTTTAATTATTGCCTTCAGTACATCATGCAGCATGAATATGTCAAAGTGCCCCAAAACACACAGGGAAAAGAAATTACCTGTTGTGAGGTGGAAACAAGTAGAGTGAATAATCATTCCGTTCCTTGAGGCATCCCTTTGGTTCGAAGAACATGAACACTTTCTTGATGGCGGCTGGTGAATTCGAGCCACTGTTATTCTCCACAACAACTCCAGCTTGGTTCATTATTGTTGAGGGCTGACAGGAACTTTGTTGTGACATCACAGTGATAGGATCATCATGCATTTGTTTCACCCTGGGTAATGGTGAGGCTTCTGCCAGTGCTATGGAAACAGCAAGAGAAACCACTGAGTGCAGCCTCCACAACAAAAGAGGCCTGAGGCTATTTCTGATAATTACGGAGCACGTAACCAGATGAAATTTATACACACATGTCACAGTTGCTGGGGTGACTCACTTGGTATAGTGATTGGGCTGTGGGAAGGACACCCAATAATCAAGTTTTGATTCCTGCAGGGGCAACAGAATTTTTATCTTCACCTCATTGTCTAGATCAGTACCTAATGAACAGGAGTCTGAGTACACCTCAGAGCCAGTGCGGATGCTGCGGAGATGAGAAACACCACTTGCCCCTGCCGGGAATCAAACTCTGATCCCATAGTCTTTCAGCCTGAAGCCTAGCCATTATAGTAACTATGGTATATTTTCATTATGATGAATTTTAAAATTCTATGAAATCCAAAAGAACAATAATAAGTATCAGTAACAGAATTGGCAGGCTTTCATACTCTTTGGATTCTGTAAGCAGTTAACATTTACTGGCCACATGTTATATTATTTTTAAAAAATATGTCCACATGTGCACGAGTCTACCAGCCAAGAATTACATCTGTTCAATACCAATAAAATAAATCCACGTACAATGGGGATTCCCTTGCACATGCTAAAACAAATGTGAACAATTATTTGTCAAACATGGAATATTTGGATATCCTTACTCTGCTAAACAAGCTCTAATACTGTACATATCAATATTGTGTGACATGACCCCTGAAAGCCAGAGTGGTCCATTGCTAGATAACAGTTTGCCACAGAAGTAACACATGAATTGTTTCAGGCAGCGATCTATATTTTGGTCACCTCAAAGTATAACAGGGGCACACATACTTAATTCATTCATTAGTAACAGAGCTCAGAGTCCTTTTGGAATTCATAAGAGAATTGAGAAGCCAGTTCAACAGTTTAGTGTTAACTGGTGGGCAACGGAAGCTGCAGAAGTGACCGATTCATAAATCAGAACCAAGTCAGTCATGCAGAAGGGAAGACACTTATAGTTCAGTAAGGAATAGAGTGAGTATTAGGCAGCCATTGACTGTGAGCTGTTATAATTGATTGTACTTAAGCGTGGTTGTAATAGCAGTGCCAATAAATCCAAACATTCAATCCAGATCCCATTATTATTAGTCACGGAACCCTGGACACATAACGATATGTACAGTAGCAAATCCAACTCATCTCTCCAACACTCTTGCATGTTTCTCTGTCTCTTGAACCATCTCCTTCTTGAGCTTTCATTTCATATATAGTATATGCATGGCCATTTTTGCGTAAAAAGGACTCTACATATATAGTAGATTCTATATATATAGAACTATCAGACAGTGTATAAATGAACAGTTGATTAGACAGGTTAACAATGTAATAACGTTACCCTGGGACAGGGTTAATCAATATCCTATTTCTGTGGCTGATACTGTGGACCCTGCTAGATCATGTGCATCTGCAGTTATATTAGATAATTTGAGAATGGACCCTGCTAGATCATGTACATCTAAAGTTATATTAGATAATTCGAGAGTATCTACTAGATCTAGAAAGCCACCTATTATGAGATCAAATGATTTTTTATGGGCAACCAATTAAATTCAGCTAAAAACAAATTAACTATTATACATCAAAATATTCGGGGAATTAAGAACAAAGTTGACGAAATCTTAATCTCTCTAACGGATATTACACCTCAAATCATTTGCATATCTGAACATCACATGAAATCAACTGAGATAGAAAATGTAAATTTTAATCAATATATTATAGGTAATTCCTTTTGTAGACAAATTTATAGTCATGGAGGAGTATGTATTCTTATTCAAAAAAAAATTCAATTTAATAGTATTAATTTAGATCAATATAATAAAGAAAAAGATATAGAAACTTGTGCTTTAAAATTTAAATTTATGTCCAAAAATATTATTATCATTTGTATTTATAGATCCCCTGTGGGAGATTTTTTATATTTTTTAAATCAGCTGGAATCATTACTAAATAAGATATATAATCCTACAAATGAGATAATTTTATGTGGTGATTTCAATGTAAATTATTTAAATGATAACACTAGGAAAGATTGTTTAAACTCACTCCTTGCTTCTTTTAATCTCTGTAGTATAGTTAATTTTCCGACTAGAATTTCTCATAATTCTTGTACTTTAATAGATAATGTCTATATTAATAGCGATTTTCATGAATTTTCTGTTTATCCACTTATAAATGGTATGTCTGACCATGATGCTCAGGTCATTGTTTTTAATAATATCACTGTCACAGCCCATAAACAGATATTTTACCAAAAAAGAGATATTAATAGCTATTCTATAGATCAATTTAAGTTTTTATTAAGTTATGAAAATTGGGAAGAGGTTTTTTTGGAATCTAATGTGAATATAGCTTTCAATAAATTTTTGAACATATTTCTTAGAATTTTTTATTCATGTTTTCCCATAAAAAATTTTCGATATCCACATGCACAGAAACCATGGGTAACATCCGGTATTAAAGTTTCATGTGCAAATAAAAGAACACTGTATCTTGTTTCCAGAAGCAGTAGCAATCCTAATATCAAAGAACACTTTAAAAAGTATTGTAGAATCTTAACTAGGGTTATAGTGGCAGCCAAAAAATTATATTATAATACACTTATACTAAAATCTAATAACAAGACTAAAACTACATGGAATATTGTGAAAACTATTACAAACAAAAAAGGATCTGTTGATAATATAATTAAGATAAAAACAAATGATAAATTGTCAGAAAATCCAATTGATATTGCAGAAACTTTTAATAATTACTTTTCATCTATAGCTGAAAAATTACTCAACAATAAATTTTATAAACAATCTCCTGATAATAATAAGGATTTTTTATATTATTTACATCAAAATTCACACCAGTTATTTCCAAAAATGAACTTTAGTAATACTAATTCTTATGAAATTAAAAAAATAATATTGTCAATGAAACCGAAGAATTCTCATGGCTATGATGAAATATCATTGAAGATTATGAAATCTAGTGCCCCGTATATCCTGTCTCCCCTAACATATCTATGTAATAAGATACTATTAACTGGTATTTTCCCAGATAGGCTTAAGTTTTCTGAAGTTAAGCCTCTCTATAAAAAGGGTGATAAAACTGAAATCTCTAACTATAGGCCAATCTCACTTCTTCCAACTTTCTCTAAAATCATTGAAAAGATTATTTATAGAAGAATTTATTCTCATTTAAATAGGAATAATATATTGGCCAAGGAACAGTTTGGATTTAGAAAAGAATCATCTACTGAAATGGCAACATATAATCTTTTAGATAATATATTAACTTCTTTGGACAAAAAAGAATATGTGGGTGGATTATTTTGTGATTTACAAAAGGCTTTTGATTGTGTAAATCACAATGTCTTACTGGAAAAATTGAAATTTTATGGAATCTCGGGTTCAGCAATAAAACTAATGAAATCATACCTTGAAAATAGATATCAAAGAACGATTATAAATGATAATAATTTGAATAAAGTATCCTCTAAATGGATGATGGTCAAACATGGAGTGCCACAAGGCTCTGTACTGGGACCACTATTATTTCTTATTTACATTAATGATTTCCCATCTTCCTTAAGAAAACTAGCTCAGCCTGTATTATTTGCTGATGACACAAGTATTATTGTATCTAATTTGAATCCTGAAAAATTTAGAAGTAATGTTACCTTAATTTTTAATGAAGCAATGATATGGTTTAAAAAAAACTTTTTAACTCTAAATTGTGATAAAACACAGTTTTTACAATTTTTCCTAAAGAAGCATAGAGAAATAGAAATCCAAAGTACAATTACTAATACATTAATTACAAATATTAATTGTTCAAAGTTTTTGGGAATAAATATAGATAGTTCATTGTCATGGAAAAATCACTTAACTTTATTATCAGTAAGACTAAGCAAAGCATGTTTTGCAATAAGGGCAATAAAACCCTTTATGTCATTGGATACAATAAAGACGATTTATCACTCTTATGTGCATTCAATATTGAAGTATGGCATTATCTTTTGGGGTAATGCCCCTTTTAGTAAGAACATTTTTAAAATACAAAAAAGAATCATAAGAATTATGTCTGGATCAGGAAAATATGATTCTTGTAGGGAATTGTTTAAAAAGTTACAAATATTGCCACTCCAATCTGAATATATTTTTTCTTTGCTTCTCTTTGTTATTAAGAATAAAAATTATTTCAAATTTAATACAGAAATACATAATATTAATACCCGTTATAATTACAATTTACACTTACCCTTTACAAATTTATCAATTGCACAAAAAGGAGTCCTGTTCTCTGGAAGCAAATTGTATAATAAATTACCTTTGAATATTAAATCATCATCTGGAGAAATTAAGAAGTTCAAATTTTTATTGAGAAGATATCTCACTGAACATGCATTTTATAGCATTGATGAATTTTACCAAACTACTTCCCGATGAATATTTTTATAATACTTTATTAATAATTTATTTTTTAACACACGATTACATTAAATTATGTAAATGATTTCAGACTATTGTATGACTGTGACAGGTATATATGATATTTAACTGGTATGTGAGGCGTTATATTTATTGCTTATATTTATCTTGAAACTAAAGCGCATAATAATCTTTTGTACTTAATATATTTTGGGTGGAATTGTATATAGAAGATTCATGTTACTGATAATTTAAATTCTTTGTTTTAATCTGTTTGTATTTAATGAAATTGTTATTACACTGTGTACTATTTTATATCGTTTTTATTGTTTATCTTGACTGTTTCAATGTTTGGAACTTATTTTAATATTATTATTGACATGTTCTATATCCAGGGTTGTATTTCAACCTATGTTTTGGATTTACTGAATTTGAAATAAGTGAATGAATGAATTGGTATTAATGTGAGGCTATATGTATCTGTGTTAAGCCTGTCCAATGCGAATTTACCTATGTAGACCCAACTCTTTGCTGGCCACAGTTTTAACTGCTGTTAATCCTGAGCTCTACAGTACTGGATAGTTTAAAATTCCCTATACTTGGACAATACAAATTAATAACAAAGAACATACTTCTGGCCTTTAGGTTGTTGATGGGTTTAGCACTGTCATCATATTGAAGGGAGCGGGAACGTGTGCCGCGTCCTCCACTGTGGTATGAAGCGGATGAGTTTTGTGGTGTGAGTTGTTGGTGAGGGGAGAGATGCTGCTGCTGTTGCTGCTGTGAGGGTGTTGGCTGGTAATTACTGCTGGACAGCGAGTTCTGTCGGGTGAGCGACCCAACCCATGACACCTGTAAATCATTCATACCTCATTTCACTTATTTAAAAGTACTGTTCCCTGTCTTCTCAAGAAAATTAAACCACAGAATTATGTGTCATGTCAATTTATTTTACTTACTAGCATAAAACTCGAGAATTCATTGGGAAGTCTCACCATTTGTTATATAAGCTTCCATACCACTACATTCCCTGCCTAGCTTTCAGCCATATCCTTTTCCACTTGAACAAGTCACTGAATGATGCATCAAGGCTGACATTCAATGTCACCTCCCATGAATAACACACACAAATAGTTAATCGTAAAGTGTCTCCTTTATAAAGTCCTATGCTACACTTCACATATCCACATCAAAATATTATTAGTGCTCACAGAATACACAAGATAGACTAGATTAAAAGACTGGATACTCCTTTTTGGCCTACCAGATAACTTCATGAATGTCTTAACACATGTGACATCACTGCTATGGCAATCTGAACTTGTGTCATGCTAGAGTTTCATCTGACTGTAACATTACTTTTCTCATAAACATTATCATCTCATATGAAAGGAATAATACAGAGTGAGGATTTCTGAGAACAGGGTGCTGAGGAGAATATTTGGACTGAAGAGGGATGAAGTGACAGGAGGTTGGAGAAAACTGCATAATGAGGAGCTTCATAACTTGTACTCTTCTCCAGCTATTTTTAGGGCGACTGAATAAAAAACGATGCGATGGGCAGGGTATGCAGCACATATGGAAGAGATGAGAGCTATGTAAAAAGTTCTATTCATAAATTTTTAAGGGAAGAGGCCACTTGGAAGATGTAAGTGTAGATGGGAAGATGATATTACAATTGATCTTATAGTTCCAGTTTCCAAACGTAGCAAAGATTTCAACATGATCCCCCACTTAACTTCGTGTGTGTATGCATGTGCGTAAAGATCAGTTTTTTCAACTTCTAGTCTTTAAAATCAACATATTTTAGGTTTTTATTAACTGATATTGATTAAGAGTTTACAAATATCATGAAATTTTTAGAATTATAATCAATTTCATTTTGTTGTATTTTAGCGTCCTGTTGCACTGATTCTCGTCCATGATATGTATGTATTGACCGTCTTCTAGAGCACACAATCTCACATGTCACTTCACTACATGTTTTGGCATCACTGTGCCATCCTCAGGTGTGTAATTTACGTTAAACTATTGCACTGCTCGCCATCATGTGTCGTTTAAAAATGATTTAAAATGTATATTCTTCATGTACTGTAATAAAATTTATATATATTAAAATTTGTTGAGATTTATCATCTTATACGTCTTATTTCAAACTCGCGTATTATATCGTTCTTCCTATATTTTGTGTATACTGTGTCTTGTGATGTGTCCTTTTTTGGCTGCGTGCGTTACATAACATTTTTAGAATTATAATCAATTTCATTTTTACTACATAAATTTCCCAGAACAGCCACCTAATGAACCAGCTGTGTTAACCTTGGGGGTGGGGGGGGGAGCATTTTGGAAACCACTGTCTTCAGGAAACAGCGTGTGTTGGTGTAGAGTCTCGGCATAGGAATAAGTGGCAGGCTTCTGTGAACACAGTATCGAATATTTGTGTTCCGCAAAAAGGGTAAACTCTGACTAGCTGGGAGACTGTTCACTTCTCAAGAAGGGCTCTGTCCCACGAAGGTTGATAGTTTCTTACTTCATATGTAGGTCAATCTATTAAAGCTTAGCACGTAACACAAGCGACTTACTTAAAAAATTAGTCTTAAATGGATTTAAAAAAAATTATTTTGTTGAGAATTTTATAAAATTAGGCCACTTTTTGAAAGTAGCCCATCATACATAGAATATTTATATAATGTGGTCAATATATTGACATATAATTTATTTTGACAAAAGGCCAAATGGGGCCGAAGATTCAAAACAATGAGAGTTACTCCTTAAATTAGGCCATGCCTGTTACCTTCCACATCCTTCCTAACTTATTTATTATTCACAACATTAACACATTAGTGTTTCAGTATGGCAAAGATTATATCTTTTAGTTACTTTGAACTGATAATTTTACATATGTAAATTATAATTATAACTAAAAATAACATTCTTAACCCAGTAAAAAAGCTATCCCTGTAACAGGCCGTAGGGGACCATAGGGTTGTGAGATGTCGAGGCTCCCCAATTTTGCCTAGACAATTGGCTCATTGATGGTGGCGAGGTTGTCAGCCTTACACACCGGCAACCCTTTACCCCCAGGAAGATTCCTGGTACTCTTTTCTGTTAGAGGCTGAGCTGACAAAAGGGCCACAGTGTGGCTGGAAAGGTTATGTCAATAGCAAAATCCAATGACCTCATCAGGAATCAAACCTGCAGCCTTATGGCTTGTAGTGCAGTGCCTTAACCAACTATGCTATTGTGTGCTACCCTTTTTACCCAGTATGCACCACAAAAAGCCAGTAACATACCTGAGGAAGCGGGCAGTATCCAGGAGTGTCATGGCTGCTCCGAATTGAATTCTGAGGGCTTAGTCCCTTGCTGCTATTGTTATTATTATTGAAGCGCCTGCTGTTGTTTGGTGTACCCTGTGTGTCATTTCGGATGGTGCCTAGAAGCCCACCATTGCAATGTGAGTGGTCCCCACAATGGACACTGCAACAAGCAAAGAAACATGAGCTCCCAGTGAGCAAAACTTTCTTGTAAGCTGCGTACATCAGGATAAAGCCTTCTCCAATGACCAGCAACATCATTCTGGGAACAGGAAGAACTCCAATAAAACTCCAAGGAAACAAAGACAGGAAATTTTGATGTAACAAGGATGAATGTATAAGGGATGGGCGTTCTCGGCCCTACCAAGATCATTAGAAGGTAAAAGGTAAAGTTGTCCCTGCTCTTAATTAATTTTACCAAAGTGGAAAGAGCCCCTGGTTCCCACTTGACAGAAGGCTGGATGGGCCCTAGAGTCGGTCTAAATGCCGTGGAGAAGAGAAAAATCTTGCCCCTGCAGAGAACTGAATCCTGGCCATCAAGCCCATAGTCCACCACTATATCAGATGAACTATCCTGACTCCTAAGGTCATTAGAATCACATTTTAAATGAAAGGGATATATGGCATGACCTAGCAAAAAGGTAGTTCAGCCAGGTACTAGAAGACATCTGGAAGAGAAGAAAGACCAAGCAAGAAATTAAGTGGGAAACGCTGTGGGAGGATAGAAGAGCTTATGGACTTTACATGCGATAAATTGGTATTAAGCAAGGGAAGATTAGAAAGCACTTACATGTCTAGGAAATTTGGTGACCTACAAAAGCTGGTACTCACGGAGGGCTCAGGATGTTGTTATTGTTGAGGCCGTTGTTCAGCACCATATCATGGTCACCTGCCTGATCTTGTTGGTCCGCATCAGACCCACCACATCGTGACTTTCTTCTCAAGGAAGGCCGTGACAGCTTCCATGAACAAACCCTTTGGATGCGTGGCGTGCTGTGAATTATATCAAATATGGTCATACTAAACGGCATCAATACTTTCGCCTGCAAAGGCAGACAGGAATGTTCTTCGTGACTTACTCATTCTGTTCTATTATCTCATGGTACGTTCTCATGTCTATACAATTCTGGGAAAACCCTTCAAATGTATGGAAAGTACATCAATATAATATTTAAACAAATCTGACATGCAATAACAACATAAAGGAACCCCCTGAAGCATAATTTTAACCTTATTTATTTAGGAATTCAGCTCATACCTCACAGGAAACATTACATCTCCGCTACAAAGCCCAACTGGTTAATGCTGTTTAGGGAAACAGTCGCTGTTTATTGTGAGAACCAAAGGGAAAACACAGATACACCCTGTTGGCAGAATGCAGAGTTCTTGAATGTTAAAGTAGGTAATACATACAGCTACCAATTTCCCCTTTACAGGATTAAAGCTAAGTAAAGTCTGGGTCTAAGTTCAAAAGGGAAACAGTACTTACCTTGGTGAGGTGTCTCTGCGACCACTTGTATTGCTGACTGTCACAAGGCTCACACGCCTCCCAAGGGTGGGTGTGAGATGACTCAAGTTATTCACTGTGAGCTTGTTGTTAGGGGGTTTCAAAAGGCCAGGGATACTGTGCTGTGATGACTGCAATACAGAGAGATGATCTCGTTACTGAAGGGCTTATCAACGGTGCAAATTTTGAGGTTATCAAAATGTTTGAATCAAAGAGGCACTTATAACACTAAAGATGCTTCAAGGAGGTTTCATTTTTAGAAATTTTAATTTCAGTTGCATGAGAGTTAATGTTCTCATGGCAGACTACAGCAGAGATGAAAATGACTTTTTGGAACTGGTAAGTTACTGCACTCCAGAACTAAGCATTCAATGCTGATCAGAAGAAGAACCTGGAAGAATGACTGACACATTTAGGAGAAAATTATCGCAAAGCAGACTTGTGAATTTATTCTTACATTTATCTTTGTTGGGGATGAGAGTTGTGATGTCTTGTCTTGCAGCACTGGAAATGGCTTCCTCAAAACAAAGCTCTCTCGAAGTAAGCCTAGATACCATCTACATTTGTAACCCAAATTTCCAGCCTTGGATTGCATTATTCTAGGATGAGATGTTGGGTAGCCTAGTAAATGCTTAACTAATATCTCAGAAAAACACATTACCTCCATCTTCAGGGTTGAAATAAAGACAGATAGCAAGTACATCCAAAACAACTTTATATGATGCTCATGAGGTGAAACCAAGTTGCGGATTTATTTGTGCATAAATAAGTTATGTGCTGTCTTTCCTTATTTAGTTCATAATGACAGAAATTTATTTCCAAATAAATTAATTAAAGCTGAACTTACCCATGCCTTACTTACCGATGAGCGGTCTATGGAATCTATGGATGTGGAGCTGGCATAGAGGGCAGGAGCCATCAGCCGGTTGTTGAAGTCCCTCATAGAAGGATCCAGGGTTGTGTTTGGAGAGTCCTGGGGAGTTGCCATGGTGTGTGTAATTACAGGGGGTTGACAAAGCATTTTGCTTTCTGAAAATCACACAAAGGATTGTACCAGTATTAGGAACCTGAGACAGCATGTTTGGTATAGCAACTACACTACAGGTCAAACAACTGAGGACTTGGGGTTTGATTCCTGGCAAAGGAAACAGAAGAAGAGTGAGTTACTCCAATATTTAGATAGTCTTCAGACATCAGAAAGTGTAAATCATTTCTCCCTCACATGCATTGCAAATGACAATCCTATTACAGACATTTATAAAATAATAATTCATAGTCATACTTTGTCGCAAATATTCCAAATTTTTCAGTCCTGTGAGATAAATATTTTCCTTAATATTCCTTCCCGGCCATTTCTCTCTAGCAGACAGCAGATGGGTTACATTTACTGTAATGCAGTAGTATGAACTTCCTCCAGATTTCTGCCTTAACTCCTGTGGGAAATTTGAACGATCTGATGACCTGATTCAGCTATGCTACTGGTTGCATAGGTTTCTGGTAGGGTCACCAACGCTAGACAGGTCAGAGAGTAGGGGCCATACAAAAGGTAGCCCCTGGTTCTCCAGGCTGAGGGTTAGGCATGGGGCTAACAACTGCATCTCTAACATAACTTCATGAGGCTGAGTCCTTCTTGAGAAGAAACCATATGCACAAAAATATTTACCAATATTTTATGGAACAAAAAGGTTCATTACAATGTTCACAAGAGCCCTCCACTGGTCCCTATCCTGAGTCAGATCAATCCAATAAACACCATCCCATTCTATCTCACTAAGATCCATTTTAATACTGTCCACCCACCTACATCTTGGTCTTCATGGTGATCTCTTTTCTTCTGGCTTTCCCACCATTATCGTACATGCATTCCTCTTCTCCACATTTATGCTACCTGCCCTGCCCATCTCATCCTCCTTGATTTGATCATTCTAATTATACTTGGCAAACTGCACCTCAGAAAACATGTGATAAGAAATTGAATGATGGATGGATAATTCAGGGAAACATCTAGAGCAGTGAAATGTTTACTGAAGATGATTTATGAGCGCTGAAAGTATGGAAATGGAGGTAAAAGCACTTAACAAGAAAGAAGAGGTATGGGTCATAAATGTGGCCAAGGTTCTTAGAGCACCGGAGAAAGTACGCTTGCAGGCCAGTATGGATGCACACTGAATGGTTTGCTGTCAGGAGTCAAGGAATTATGAGAAGAAGATAGAAAGCAACAAATGTAGTCCTCTGATGCAAAACTTCAAGTTAAATGTTGGCTAGTTCTTTACCTTTCTGAATATTGCACTTTGGTTCGTAATCACCATCCACCTCCTGCTTGTGCTTCCAGCTGTTCTTTTCACGATGTCCATTCTCAGTTTTCCTCAGCTCTTCTGCGCTTCTCCATTTATTCTTCAGCTCCTGAAAATAAGTTACACTTGAATGGGAAAAATGTAACACTAACCATGGATGTGGCTACATAACTCCTGGTCCATAAAAACAAGCAAAATAATCTCCCAGAAAGTCATGTATCCAAAGTGTGGGCCCAAACTGGACATACTTCTTTGGCTGGTGGATATTATTTGATGTTGTGTGGCTCTGCTAAACTCTGTGCAACTGCAAACCAGCAGAAATAAGTATTAAAAAAAAAGTGTAAAAGTATCCCTGTAACAGGGTGTGGAGGCCCACAGGGTTGTGAGATGTTGAGGTTCCCACATTTTCTAGACAATCGGCTCATAGATGACAGTAAGAGTTGTCAGCCCTACGTGCTGCCCGCCCTTTACCCGCAAAAATATTCCTGGTACTCATTTCTGTTAGAGGCTGAGTTGACTCCAGGGCCATAGTGCAGCTGAAAGAATTAGGTCAATTGAAAATATCCACCTCATCAGGTTTTGATCCCGCAACCTTCTGCTTGTAGCATAATGCCTCAACCTACTACGCTACCGCATGTCCCCAGCAGCAGAAATAAATATACTGCAATAAAATTTGTTTTCTTCTGTCACACAAAATGAACTGATTGTTATTATTTCACAATATGTATTTTTAAGAACTGAATGTGTCAACCCACTTAAGGGTCAAGGGGGGTGGTATATATACTGTTATGGCATTGTCAAAACAACAATAAAATAAAGTGCCCTTGGAATAATTGATTTTACTGTTGTTCTGCTATTAATTGTTGGTTTAGTGTTGCAAATAAAAACAATATTGTGCTGTTGCTTTGCAATTCATTGTTGGTTTAATATTGCTGTAAGGAAATATATTTTATTTTATTGTTGCTTCTCAGTTCATCATTGGTTTAGTGTTGCTATAAGTAAACATATTTTTACTGTTGGTTCAGTTCTGCTTGAACAGAATTTGCACCACTTGATGACGACCCAGAAGTGGGTGAAAACATGCGATGGATACAAGGGTACAATGTTGTGAAATAAGAATGAATATGTTTGTGTGATGGAGGAAGAAAACAGTTTCATTAATTGTATATATAAACAGAAAGTATCCCTAAATGATATTTTGTAATTTTTCTGTTCCAAGTGTTATTTCATACTTTGACAAATGTATGAAAGAAAGCAAAAGGGTAACACAAACTGACGTTCTTGTCTGCAGCTGGAAAACAATTTATGCGGTCCGATACAAAATTGGGGCGAAATAACAAGAGTTACAACGAAATAAATGAAAACAGGAATGTAGATGCAGATATCATCCAAGGAGGTAGATCACTAAATACGGTACTCGGGCACCTTGAGGAGAAAAAGTAAGGTGGGAAGATCTAATAGTGAATGGGAAACAGCTGCACCTCTTGCGCTAGTTGCGGCAATTTGTCTTAAAATTCTGTGAAACTGGATGATACGTCAGGAATTACCTGTGTTCCCGTGGTGTAGCTGTCGGATTCGGTACTGGAACTTGACCTTGAACCATCCAGGCTGGAGAAGTGATCGCTGTATTCGCATTTGTGGGCTTGATGAGCTTGTTTTGCCAACTCCCGTTGCTCCCGTTCGCGGCGCTCATTTCGCTGAAACAGAAAAATCGTATCTCTTAAAAATTCTCTACGTGTGATGCAAAATTGGTTGCATGTACACGACAGTTAAGGTTTCTGCTGTTTGAATATACATACTTAAATATATTTATTGTCAAGAAGGAAACATGGAATTCAATTGATTGAAGTAATCAGTCTAGGTTATCGTAGCATTAGTATTACACAGTTTATGATTTAAGCAAATCGATATGATTATTCGACGAAAACATTAGCGCCATTCGAACTAAAATCCCGACATGTTCTACGGTGTTGATTTTTTACGGTAAGTAACTTTACTTAAGGTACCTTTTTATAGAAAAAAATTGGCGATATACAATAAAGAAAATGTGCGAAATACAAGTTTAATTCGTTTGATAATTTTAATTGCGTCTGTTCCTTGAACTTCTATGTGTATGTAAGTGTTAACATGACTGTTGCAAGAGTCATCCGGTTTGCACTGCAGTATTCATAACTGCAGAAAGTGTGCCTGTAGTTATATTTAGAACTTTTTCTGACACAAAAACACACTCAAATGACCGTTTTCGATGTAACTGATTTCAGAAAACTCGACTGTAATGACATGAGATGAGAGTGGGTTTGGTGTGTTTGTGCAGGAATGAACCGGGTTTTACTCCTGATGTAACCAATTCTGAAGAAGATATGAAAGGAAGAAGCTGCAGTTCTGGTTAGTACAGTTTCTGCTATTAGCTTTTGTATCTGGAAAACATTTTCACCATATTTGTTAACTTATCAGATGGCCTTCAAATATGGAGTGTAGGTGTAAATATATTAAATAAGCAGTCGCAGACAGTCACAATGGGTGGTCCTTCACCTTGGGATTTGGGCGTGGGGCTAACAACTCCTCACCCCCATTGCCATGGAGCAACCCTGGACAGTAAGATAGAGAGTACTTTACCAAGGGGTCCCCATTGCCATGGAGCAACCCTGGACAGTAAGATAGAAAGTACTTTACCAAGGGTTCAACATTGCCATGAAGCAACCCTGGACAGTAAGATAGAGAGTACTTTACAAGGGGTCCCCATTGCCATGGAGCAACTCTGGACAGTAAGATAGAGAGTACTTTACCAAGGGTTCAACATTGCCATGGAGCAACCCTGGACAGTAAGATAGAGAGTACTTTATCAAGGGTTCCCCATTGCCATGGAGCAACCCTGGACAGTAAGATAGAGAGTACTTTACCAAGGGTCCCCATTGCCATGGAGCAACTCTGGACAGTAAGATAGAGAGTACTTTACCAAGGGTTCAACATTGCCATGGAGCAACCCTGGACAGTAAGATAGAGAGTACTTTATCAAGGGTTCCCCATTGCCATGGAGCAACTCTGGACAGTAAGATAGAGAGTACTTTACCAAGGATCCCCATTGCCATGGAGCAACCCTGGACAGTAAGACAGAGCGTGTTTTGCGTAAGCAGTCTAACTGTAGCTTACCTCAGCGGAGAAACCTTCCACCAAAATCGCGACAAGGAGGTTGAAAAGAACGTAGTTCCCGAAAGTCATAAGAGCCACAAAGTACAGGGCTGCCCAGTGGCTTGTCTTCTCCATTCCGTTAAACAGCACCACGTTCCAGTCTTCTTGGGTAAGGATCTGTCAGGAGAGAGATCACAATCACTCTGTAGAGCCACTACGTTCCACACATCGGCCTCAAACGCATACTTATGAACTGTACATGGGTAGCATCTGCAGTGACGTACACAATTAGTAACCCCACTAAGTTTCTGGCGTAAGTTTTGCGGTTTTCATGCCCGTGAATACCTACTAGGCAGGTTGGCGCAGCGATAGCGCTTCTTTTGAACATTGGCCGGGATATCGGTTATCCTGACAGGTTTTCGTCATTTACTCCAGGCATATGCTGGGATAGTACCTCAATTAGGATACTACAGCTTCCTTCCAAATCATCATTCGTGGTTGTACACCTATTCTAGACGCTGAGAGGGTTGTTAAGCAATCCTACACTAACAGTTTCTGTGCTTTCAAATCTCAGAGACTGTCGCACTGAAGTTTTGATATGTACAGTGATTTTTTCGAGAACCTATACATTTTTATGGAAATAAAAATCTTCAATTGTAACACTTTCATGGAGAGGGTTTTTGCACGAAATAGAAGTCGTCGTTTTTGAAGTTGGGTTGTCACACTGATTAGGCACAATAGCGGACTCTGGGAAAGTTATAAAACCAACGAATGGAAACTGAAAGGATTTAGTGACCTGTCTGTGTGTAATGCGCGCTTGATCTTCTGTGAGTGACGTGTTACACACAAAAGTAAAATTATCCGTTTTTCCCAGGGACCTCGCTGAAGCCCCAGCTGGGTCTGGCACCGGGTTAGAAAGTTTCCTTTTGCTTAGAGCCACGCATGTTTGACCAGTAGTAGCTTACACTACCAAAGTGTGTGCACTTTAAGTTGTATACAGAATGTCCCGGGAGGGAAGGTCATGGTATGGGTCATTCTAAGCAAAATTTGTATACGTACATGTGTCCTTTTCGGAACGGTTTCCGAGATACNTGTTTGACCAGTAGTAGCTTACACTACCAAAGTGTGTGCACTTTAACTTGTATACAGGATGTCCCAGGAGGGAAGGTCATAGTATCGGTCATTCTAAGCAAAATTTGTATATGTACATGTGTCCTTTTCGGAACGGTTTCCGAGATAGAGTTATTTCACTGTACAATGACTTCATTGGGAATCGAACCCGCGGCATTCCGGCTTGTACCATAGTGCTTCAACGAACTATGCTACCGCACAAATTAAAATTAAGCTTAATTAATTAAGGACCACTCCACGAAAACATTGGGGGATTGGAGGTATAGCTCCACCATTCTTGACCTCGGCATTAAGTGGAGGTGAGTGGTCAGCTTCACGCCCCTGACGCTTTACCCCCGATGCCCTTTGCATAGGAGGCTGGATGGGACTTAGATCCGGAGTGGGCGCTGTGGAGAAGAGACAAATCTTGCCCCCCTGCCGGGAATAGAACCCCGGCCTCCAACTCGTAACCTGTCGCTATACCGACTGAGCTATCCCGGCACTTAAGTATGCCTATCAGGGGATAACAGTTGTATTTTTTCCAAAACATTGGTACTTAGCTATGAAAGTACATGGCATGACGTTACAGAAAAGTGGAATCTTGAGGAACTTTTTCGATTATTAATTTTGCAGTTATCGTAAGCACACTAAGTTTGGCAATAGGATTAATAAACCAAATTACCTGTCATTATTCATGATGGTTGAATACTGCGTATTAAATATTTCGACCGGGAAGCAAATTTTCATGAGAAATTTGAGAATTCTGTTAATAATCAAGACGAGAGACGAACTACCGGCACCCACTGCTATAAGCTCGCTACTTGATGAAGCGATCTATGGGGAACTATGCAACTGTAAAGCACTACCTAGTTTAATGGGAAACGTAGAACGTGGTGCCACGAAATTGCATAGGTTTATACTTCAAGAGATAAAATTAGTGAAAAAATAGGTAATTATGTATATTAGTCCCGATGAGGTGGATTATTTAAATTGACATAATCCTTCCAGCCGCACTATGGCCCTGGGGTCGACTCAGCCTCTAACAGTAATGAGTACGAGGAATATTCCTGGGGGTAAAGGGCGGCTGGCGCGTAAGGTTGACCTCACCGCCATCTGTGAGCCGATTGTCTAGAAAATGTGGGAGACTCAACGTCTCAAAACCCTATGGGCCTCCACGGACTGTTACATTGATAGCGTTACCTTTCCTTATGTATATTAGAAAATAAGGTTGTCACAGCGGTGATTATTAACACTACAGATTCGCATAGTAGGGGGTGGAGTCCAGCTTAGTCCACTCGGCACGTCGGCCACTGATTGGCCTATTGTACCTACCTCGGGTGATTATGATGACGGAGAATTTGGTGGAATGAAGATTGGCAAGGGAAACCGAAGTTCTCGGAGAAAACCTGCCCCAGCGCCACTTTGTCCACCACAAATCCCACTTGAGCAGACACGGGCTCGAACCCGGGCCGCAGCGGTGGGGAGCCAGCTCCTAACCGCTTGAGCTATGGCACTGCCTAGCACTATAGATAAGTACGTAACTTACAAATGGTGGCCAATGTTTAATTGTAAATAATTCCGTACTCTTACGAATAAAAGAGAGCTACAGTTTTACGTTATGTTAGAATGACAGATTCCGCACAGCAAGTTTGCAGTTTACACCAGACCAAATTAATACTGAAATGCAATAAATGAACTCGGGTTTCACAGCTGATTCTACCCACGTATCAGCTGCTTAGTATGCGTTCCATAATTATTTCCAGTCGTCTCAGTAAGGATACCAATTTTAAGTTTTCAATTACCGCACTAATTAAAGAGAGCTGTTAGTACTAACGATTTAATTGGACTGTTGCGTGTCTAGCCAATGCAATTAAATCAGAGAGGGGGAGGACTAACGGAAGAAACATCCCTTGTGCCAAATTAGCATGATAATATCTTGAGAACAATGTTGTGCTGATGGTGACAGTACTAACTGCTTCATTCTTGCTCTGTGTTTCATGTAAGAAATTGCAGACCATCTCAAAGTTACTCCTGTCGTATGGTTCAGCTAATTATATTGGAAATTAGTTAGTACTGCCCCTACGAATATCATTACAGATTGCCATTTTATGGCACGGATGTTTCGGGTGCTGGGTCACGCTAGCGTAGTTGCTTGAGGTACAACAAGCCGCAAGGGTCGCGGGTTCGATTCCCGATGAGGTCATTGGATTTTTCAATTGACCTAACCCTTCCAGCAGCACTATGGCCCTCGGGTCGAGTCAGCTTCTAACAGAAATGAGTACCAGGAACATTCTTGGAGTAAAGGGCGGCCGGTCAGCGAGTAAGGCTGGCAGCGTTACCGCCATCTGTGAGCCGATTGTCTAGAAAATGTGGGAGCCTCGACGTCTCACAACCCTCTGGGCCTCCACGGCCTGTTACAGGGTTAGCTTGGCGCGTAAGGCTGACCTCACCGCCATCTGTGAGCCGATTGTCTAGAAAATGTGGGAGCCTTGACGTCCCACAACCCTCTGGGCCTCCACGGCCTGTTACAGGAATAATTTTATCTTTACCTTACCTCTTTCGAATTTTAATAAATTTTGCAACAAAATAAATGAATAAACGGGCAGGCATAAGATGTTACTTAGGTAAATAAAAATTGTTTCCCCAAATGAGGATTGCTATCCTGAAATGTGAAATCGTACAGTCTGGTAAATCATTACCAACGTTTCGGACGGAATGGCTGCTTCTTCTTTCGGGGTAGAAGAGTAAACCGTGGGTATAAAGGGGAAGGGAAGACCACAGTATAATGTCCATAATCAAGAAGAGTTAGGTCAATTTAAAAATCCAATGACCTCATAGGGAATCGAACCTGCGACCTTCCGGCTTGTAGCATACTTTCATAAGAGGTATATAGACTTAATTTCCTTCCAAGACGATTTCATTTAAATGTAGCGGGTATTTATGCTGCAAATTCTTTCGTCAACATGGCCAGCAGAAAAGTAATTTGGACGTCAACTGAGAATTTGGAAATAATTTTAATGTGTTCAGGTACACTATGTGAGTGCCCCCCTCTCTTCCCTCCCGCCACTCCTTCCCACAGGGGACGAGGATATGCAGTTATTAGCAACAATTTTATCTGAAGACAGTTAAACCATGTCGAACAGGAATAAAGCTATTTACGGGAAAGCTAAAGGGCAGAACATGCACATGTTATTAAAAATGTGAAAATAGTTTAGAAAAGTAGTGTTACGGGCAAGACTGTGCCAAACTTGCAGTTCGTGCCGTATGATTTTCTTTATAATTGTTTCAAAATATTAACACTTCTAAGCCTCACAATACATTGTGCTAATATAAACAATATTTTGCATGACCGAAGGAATTATTTTTGTGACAAGTATGTTTCTGGAGATAAATCACGATTCTTTGCCTGGGAACAATGTTAAACGGCATCACTTAATGTTAAAGGACTAAATATTGAAAGCTCTGCTATTTACACTTTTAGAAGTGAGTCACTGACGTAAAATTTATTTGAAAATATTTTATATATTGTTATTTCCACAACTTTGTTAATATCTATAGTGTTACAATAAAGAATTTTAAGTCACTAAACATCACTTTCCTTAATCAAAATAAGCTATTTCAAATTTATGTAGTAACAGATGCATTCTTAATTTTGTATTTCATTATGTTACTGGCCGGAAAGCGTCGTTCTTTAGTGACAAAACTCAGGTTCGTATACAGATATTTATTTTTGAAACATATTTCGAACCAAGGTGAATTTCAAAATTGTGAAACCTATGTTATGGCTGTATATATTATATCGAAGAGAATTTTAATAAACATTCCCTCGCCTAACCATGAACTGCTATGGCACAAATATCTGTAACATTAGTATTTATTAAAAATAATAAATTACTGTATTTATTAAGATACATAACATAACTATGTATAAAACATCTCCGAGGTTGCGTCATCAGACTCGATGATGTTGGTCGTTATCGCATTACAAAGTTGTTAAATTCTACCGTCGACATGGAATGTAAACCAAAATTTCTATACTACAGATCACACTTAAGACACAGGCATTTTCTTCCGTAAGATTGCCTGCTGTAAATATGATGTGCCCTCGAAGATGTTTTAGACAGACTAGGTTACTGTTTTTGTTGGATGAAATGATTATATTTCGTCAGTAATATCGACAAATTATCATAATCATTTATTGAGCTGACCACATGGGTCATTACAGTAACAGATATGATAAGAAAATATATGAAAATTGAGTGACTTACCTGGAACACTGTGACGGTAGCCCAGAGAATATTGTTAAAATGTTTTCTGTCACAAACGCACTGCGGGTGACGATTCACGATTTCGTCACAATTACACTCTCTGGATCCATCTGAGAGCATGCAAAACTTACCACCAAATAGGTACATTCCTAAAATACTGGAAAAGAACCAAAAACAAACAAGTTTCCCACAAAATATGACAATTAGTGTAAAAATTAACGGCCAACGCGTTACGTTACTGAAATTAGGACAGAGAAAACAAGAATGTTAGCTAGTGGACAGACAGAAAAATAAATAAGCATAGCTCTCACTAAAGGGGGAACTCTCAAAGTTCGTCTCCTGTCCCCTCATGATCTCTATAATAACATAAGTTGATTTATAACAAGTGTTTGCGGTGTGAATGTAAACTTACACATTTCCGTGACTTACGTTGCCGTGAATTGGCCACAAAATTATGGACGTGTTGTAAAGTTAGCTGTAGCAATTCTCCACGGATAGCTCAGTAATGAAGCCAACCACGAGAGAATTAAAAGTTAACTATGCAATACATAACTAATTCCATGGCGAATTTATGTTGTTTAGGTCCGCTTTGTCACGAAACTGGATAGGTTTACCGTGCATGGCTTCTAACGTAAGTATAGCTAAACAGATTTGCGTAATCAAAGCTGACGGTGTGCATTGGGAGGTACTGATATGTGTATAGTCATACAACTTGCCAGAGATGGGCCCAGTGAATCGTTTCGGAGCCAGAATCTGCATCAAAGAAACTGAACGTGAAGGTGATCTAGTGTGCAGTGTACGTACACCCGTGCAGATGTAGAATCCATGACCAGCTCTGATTTGTGTAGCTACAATTACGCAGGGATTAAAGTGGACACATCATGTGTATTAACCGTTAGGTGATCATACTGTGCATTTTGTTTGTGTGTGTTCTCTGAATGAGGGTGAGGTCGATACGAAGAGTTGAACAACAGTACTTTGTTGTTGGCTCTGAGGTTTTCGCGGCGCTGTCTATGCAGAGTATAGTCTTGTGGATTATAACACCGTGTAATCGATGTCAGCCTCTTTCACGACCTTACGGCGTCGGTACCCCAAAATACCACATTTCTCAACAGTTTAACTGTCCATATGTAAAGATTAAATATCTAATGTCAATTTCATAACGGGAAATACATTTGTGTTCTGAAAAATAAACTAAAACGTTTGAAGGTAAACGTAAAATTATCCCTGTAACAGACGGTAGAGGTCCATAGGGCTCTGAGACGTCGAGGCTCCTACATTTCCTAGACAATCGGCTTACAGATGGCGGTGAGGTTGTCAGCCTTGCATGCCAGCTTCCCGCCCTTTACCCCTAGGAAGATTCCTGGTACTCATTTCTGTTAGAGGCTGAGTCGACCCCAGGGTCCATAGTGCGGCTGGAAGGATTAGGTCAATTGAAAAAAATCCAATTTTGTACTAATATTCAATGCTATGTTGCACTATAATTTCATTACAAATATTTTGATTATTAAGGTGCTGGCTCAAGGAAGAAGTGTAACAAGAAACGTGAGTGTTCGAATTAGATTTGACATATATATATATATTCCATTCATTAGGAATGATAAATTATATATTTTTTTTAAATTTAATTCAGAAATATCCATCGTAGCGTAAATTTATTTCGTTACATCTGAGGTTCTCGCTGGGGTCACTATGGAAGAGTAAGCGAAGCTTGTAACCAGCAAGCAGAAATGTGCTTTCTTGGCTTACTCTTGTTCAGCTTACAATTCAACCCTGAGGATGGAGGCAGTAGATAAACTTCTACTACATTACACGGCATCACATCCCAAAAGACAGTACTGTTGAGTTTGTTTCTCACATAATATAAAAGCCCCTTAAGTGGGCACCGCTTCTATCAAAACGAGGTAATATACTGCATTTGCCGTGTGTCACCCTCTGCAGGACACATTGAACTGTAATATGTTTCATTGTTAATTACAAGGGGAGTTAGACATGACAGGTAGACTTCATACAGATGTGGCGTATGTTTCCGGAATGTCTGCATGTCTTGTGTGGCATGAGGAGACCATCGTGAATATGCGTTACAAAGTAGGCACTACACAACTGACAAGAAAGGGAGTCAACACAAATGTTACTTTCATTTCAGACACGGTGGCCGTGTTATCCTACAACGAGACGCACGGAACAAATGAGATAGCAAGCAATATCCAATTTCTTGTGACTGATATCTATATAACAATATAGGAAACTGCACATCTCAGACTGGATGGTTACAGTTCTGAATGCGGTTTATGGAATGGTTCATATGCGTGTTCTGTAGTGGTTTGTGACAGCGATTGGTTAATTATGTGATCATCATCTGTCACATGTTCCCCTATCTGAGGTACTGTATCTTATATACACAATTTTTCGGAAAGTAGATATGTCCCCGTCACCAGGTACAAAGGGGCAAATGATCCTATTCAGTTGGGCCCCAAAGAAATAGCTAGTCTCCTTGCTATCCAGTGAGGCCGAACTGACCAGGGAGGATCCTGTCGCCTTTACACACGATGATGGAAAAATATTTACTCTTCGAAACGTTATATATAACAAATACGTCTCAGGCAGTGAATAAGACATAATATTCAGCATAGAGACGATTTCTACTGATGACTTAGGATTTATGAGTGAAACGGTGATTGTTTCTTTTACAATGTACATACCGTAGATTATATTTTAAATACTTTAGCCAGTAAATACATTTCCATAAATTATTCCGCATCACTCGAATATATCAGAGTTGTCAGAAACAAACATTTCTTTTGGATCATTACTCACAGGCGAAAGCTAACAGTGGCGTGAATATTAGGAAATCTATTCATGCCGCCCTCACATTTCATCATGTCCGGTAGACAGAAATGGAAACCACATTTTCATTTGTTCCGCCGTCTCAACCGATAGGCAACTAACAGCGTCAGTGGCGTAGCAGACAAGAATTAAACAACAACGTAGCGTGAAGTCAGATGTGATATGAAATATTGTTTAGGTGGTCTCGAATTAGAATATTCAGGACACAAACCTACGGAGGAGAAAATTAAAATTCATACCAGTAACTGTGCATTGAGAAGATTCTTTTTTTTTTCAAAACAAATTTAAAAATCTTAGTTCTAGCGCAAGCCTCGAGAGGAAATTATCAGTAATAATTTTAATATTGAACATTTCAATAAATGCCTCCCGTTGCTGAAACTATGTTATGAATAACGAAGTTTCGTATGCGTATATTCAAAACACTACTACGTAAACTGTATTAGGGATGTGAAAACACTGTTAAGTTATGGTTGTTTGTACTTCCAGATGCAAAGAATTACAAAGAAAAACTTTTGTATATTGAACGACTGGTATGAATATTGTTATCATGAGGACTGAATGACGTTGATTTTAAAATGATCGGAATACGCTTGGAATTAACTGAATAACAATAATTAATGAAAAAACTACGTTAGAATTTAATTATTGTCAGAGTGGTGCAAATGAGCTGTTGTATCCACCAGTTTTACAAGGACAAGGGACAGAATATTGTCTAATCAAAGTGACTGACACATTTACACAAACCCACCTACACATGTAACATTACTGTAGAACTATTTATAATGTTTAGTGGTGCAGGGTAGGCTTCTACATATTGAATGTGAAGATGGTCATGGCATTCCTAATGCACAGACATACTGTAAGGAGACTTAATTGTAGCAAGTAATTGAATCATAACAGAGTGTGACTACTGCAGGCAGCTTAATCTGGATCATTTCAAAATAGAAGAAGCTCTAGAGAAAATATAAACGGAGAGGAAATTCGCAAGGAAGACGCGCTAACGCAACTGATGTCATGTATAGGATAACCTAGGAAGGGCATCATATTTATATGAACCTCTCGTGTATTATATATTTTACGTATAGCTGTAATTTATGTCATTCATAATTATATTTACTAAAATAGCAGTTAATTAAGTTTTAAATACATTCTGGTATATATGACTCGTAAATGCTTCATAGATTACTGTTAGTTTTTGTATTTATTAAACATGCCTTTATGAAAGTGCAGTTTCTCGGTTGTTAAAACAAAATTCATGGCAACGACTTCAGGCCGCTCCATAGCTCAAGCGGTTAGTCGCTGGCTTCCCACCGCGGCGGCCCGGGTTCGATCCCGGGTCTGGTCAAGTGGGATTTGTGGTGGACAAAGTGGGGCTGGGGTGGGTTTTCTGCGAATGCTTCGGTTTGCCCTGCCAATCTTCATTCCACCAAATTCTCCATCATCATAATCACCCGGGGCAGGTACAATAGGCCAATCAGTGGCCGCCGTGCCGAGTGGACCCAGTTGGACTCCACCCCCCAGTAAGCGAATTAAAAAAAATAATTATTCTGTTCGCCTCCCTTTTGCTTGATACACATAGTGTTGTTATACAATGGTCAACACAACAAATTCGCAATAAATAAAGCAGTACCACTGTCTTGATATTTGTTTATGTACATGCAAACAGAAGCTGAGAAGGGGAAGAACCGCTGTCTTACAGCAAGAACACGTGGTACCCATATACAAGGCACATTAACTTCTTACACCATCACTCACGGCACCACACATGGAAAATGGAACATGCATCACTTACATATGGAAAATCGCCGCGTAATGTCTGCAGGAAAAGAAAAAATAAAGCGGACTCCCAGAAAACTCCTCTACCCAGCGATACAACATCACAGACCTGCACTTCACGCTCAAGCAAAGAAAAAAAACGTAGTTTTTTAAATTTTGACCGAGTTATAACATTTTACATTTTAAGACCATCTGTAACGAAATTTACAATAATGATCACTAATATGAATCCACATTAGAAATACAGTTAAATAACGAATAGTACACATCATGAAAATCGCCTGATGATTCATCTGGATCGAGATAACTAGCAAATATACATAACAAACAAATATTAATGCAGTAATATTGATTTATTTATTACGAATTTGTTGTATTGACGGTTGCATAATAATACTATATAGTAATACACAAGAGGATTAAAACAATAAAAATAATTCATATGCTCCGACTTTTCGAGTTTCCAGTCTCAAATACTGTTATATGTTCATTGTAGTAGGTGGATGTTTCCACCGTCTTGATTTGCATTCAGCA